CTTCCTGCTGGTGCCCTGTCTACCCCTACCCACCGCCCCCACCCTTCCAACCCCCCCCCCCGCCACCCACCTCCTGCTCCCCAGGAGCCTCTGGGCTCTGACCCCCCTCTCCTGCCACCGTGCTTGCCTGCTGCTTCCCCAAGCCCCGCCTGGCCCCTGGTCGAGGGCTCGCCTCGTGGGGCATGGACACTGTGGTCGCGCCTTTGACCAGCCTGGAGAGGGATCTCGATGTGGCTTTCGTGCCAATAGTGGAAGGAAGGAGACATGTACCGGTGGGTCCGGAGCAGGTCACTTTATCGAAAGCGTCACTAAAATCAGCCTCACGGCCAATTCTCATCTTACAGATGTGCTGACTGAGGCTTGGAGCCAGAAGGTGGTTACCCAGCGAGTGGCAGGTAGAGCTGGGAGCCCCAGGGGCGGGGGGGGGGGCGGTGGTCAGCAGGTCCAGTGGGTGAGGAAGAGGCGCCGTCCTCTCTGTTTGGTGTGTCCTCCCATCCCTTGTCTCCACACGTGTTCCTTGGGGTGCAGCCCTATAAGGCTGGTTGTATCCAGCCCCTGTCTCGGGGGCCTCCTGCCTGGCTTTCACAGCCCCGGGGGCCAGGAAGAGAGGCACTGCGGCTGTCCTTAAGAACGTGTGAAGACGATGGACCTCTGGTTGCTCCCTGTCCGGTTGGAGAGCTTCTGCCCTGTTTGTCTTGTCCGAGGGCTTTGATCCCAGGCTGGACCGCGGAGAGGATTTTATTCCGCCGCCGCCTTTAGGATTTCTCTGGGAACTTACTTATCCACCAACTGGGTGGCTAATATAGGCCTCAGGTGAGGATGCTGTGTCCTCCAGAAGCTTGGAGTCTGTCCAAAGGACTTTTAATTACATTTTTTGAATAATTGATATGTTCACATGGTTTTAATGTCAAAAGGTCAAGAGAGAAAAGGCGAAAAGCCTCCTGCCCCTGATCTCTCAGCTGACTCGTTCCCTGCCCACGAGGCAACCGCTATTAATAGTTCCCTGGGTCTCTTTCTAAAGACTGTGTGTGTGGTGTTCAGCGATTCCTAAGAGGGCCCCAGCTAAACGGAGCGGATTGGACAGCCCCCAGGGAAGTGTTTTGTAAAAGCACAGGGAGCCGATGGGAGGGGGCGATAAGGATATGAGAGGACAATTCCCGGAGGGCTGGATGTACAACCTCCTTTCACCCCAGCTACACAGGCAAGATACTGACATGTCAAAATGGGGGTAGCAGTCCAACAGTTCATCAGAGATGGTCCAAGGCCCCGTACAAGGCCACGGGGCGCCCTCGCCCAGAGCAACGGTAGGGGCTGCGTGGCGGGGCGGCGCTTTGTGAAATACCAACCTGGGCCGCTTAGCTGCGTGACTTTGGTTACTATCCTCACCCTCTCTGGCCTCCTCACTCCTCCTCTGTGAAACCCCTAATCTAGGTTTCAAACTTTATTGCTACCCTTCTAGTCTGAAGAAACTATGGACCTCTTTAAATGCATAGATCATACGGGATTATAAGTGTAAACGAATCACACCGAGGCAGGATCTCCCAGCGGGCGGTCCCGCTGTAGCGATTCCTGCTCTGAGGAGAGCTGGGGCCGTCGGGCGCCCGCGAGCTCTTCTGGGTCCTGGCGCCGTTCGGGGTCTGGCACCGGTGGGGACTGGGCGAGGATTTGGGGAAGAATTCCCTCCGGAGATTGCTTTTCAGCAAGTTGGGACAATCCCTCTTCCCCGACAGCCAGCTTCCCCTCCATCCACACGAGGCCTCCTCTCCTCGCTGCAGGTGAGGGCGTGTGCCCAGCATGCACCCTCCCAACGGTGGCAGCGCTGCCCCAGGAAACAGAACCCCAGCCCCTGGCAGGAAGTGCCTGCCAGTGGCCACCGCCGCCCTCCTGCCCTCGCAGCCCCGGAGAGGGTTTCTGGTTTCTCGTTTCTCACAGGCCTGAGGTGTCCAGGTTCCTCTCCCCTCCGCAGTCACCGATCTCAGCCTCTGGGAGGGGCCCTGTCCCTGGCCCGGCTTCTGTTCCCTGCCCTCAGGGGGTGCTTGGCTTGCCAGGCCAGCCAGCAGCTCAGGGCTGTTCCACGGCCAGATGCAGAAGGGAGTCGCGCCCCTGCAGTTGACGGTTGCCCTTCCTTCTGGAGTTCGGGGTGGGGTGACATGGGGGTTCTGGAGGGAGGTGGGCATTTGAGGCGATGGCATCTTGGGAGGTGCCTAGGCTGAGTTTTCCTTTTCAAACCCTTCGCCGTTGGCTGAGACAGCATCAGGCATTTCAGGGGGTCGGGTTCGGGCTCGAGGCAGCGCGATGGTTTCCCATGCGCCAGAGTCGCTTCAGGCCCCTGGAGGCGGCCGCCAGCTGTCCTGCGGTGGCCCTGGGGCTGCAGGCCTGGGGCTCACAGGCGCATGGGCCATTCCTGGACTGTAACGGAGGGGGTTGGTTGCCAAGAATCTGCTGGAAGATGCAGTTGTGTGCAGCAAACGGAGGAGCCCGTTGGAAAGGACCCAGTCAGGTGAGGCTCTGACTGGTGGGTACACCAGGTGTCATCTTCGATGCTTGAGCCTCCAACACTAAAACAGTCTCTCAGGACAGCTTTATGTCTACATATCATTCTTTAAACCGCGCTGCTAATCCGCCGTTTCCTCCATTTTCCATATGCTTTCTCTCTTTCATACACAGATACGTATAGATTCAGGCATTTATACACTCATTAAGGCTCATGGACAAAGAGGAAAAAACCCACAAGTTTTAGTTAACCACTTATTCCAAAAATATGTATGGAGCCGTTGCTATGCACTCACGCTCTTCTGAGATAAACCATAGTCAAGATGGGCACGGCCCACTTCCCACAGAGTTTATGGTCTTGAGGGCGGATTCGGCAACAGGCAAATAAACGAGTGAGCTAGAAAATACCCGCGGGAACTCTGCTCTCCAGAGAAGTGGTCTTAGGCTGTGACAGCGTGACAGGGGCGAGCCGGAGATGCCTGCCTCCCAGGAGGTGATGAGAAGCAGTGGGATGAGTCAGGGCACATGGGTCCAGGGCCTTGGGGCTGGCCTGTGCCTGGCGTATGTAGGGCACAGAGAGAAAGCAGAAAGTCCGGTCGATGGGGCCAGATCTTGAGGCCTTGTAGCCTGGGGGAGGAGTTGAGATGCCATGTAGACACTGAAGGCCCCTAGGCAAGGGAGTGACAAGATAAAGTACCTGCAGCCCAATTAAATAGCCCATAATTCCCATCCTGGGCTTTGTTTTTTGGGCCTCAGTAGAGGAACTCGGGGAGGTGGCTGGAGTCAGCTCGCTTTCGCATGGCGTTTAACATTGTGCCCATTTAAACCCTGTGGTGATCCCACAGGAAAGTTGCTACTGTGAGTGTATCCGTGAGGGAACCCAGGGGCAGGCACGGAGTGATTCGCTCACGGTTCCGCCAGCCTGAACCGAGGGGCGGCGCTGGGGTTCGAGCCCCAGCAGCGCAGGCTCCAAACCTTCCTGGACATGGAGCCCTGGGTGGCTTTCTATTATTGTCAATTTATTTTCATTACTGAGTTAATATGTGTAAAACATTGTTATAATTTGCATTTCCTTGACCACTACTGAGATGGACCAGTTTTTGCTGTCTTTACTTTTTCTTTTTTATTGTGGTAAAATATACACAATGTAAAATCTGTCTTTTAACTATTTTTAAGTGTATAATTCACTGGCATTAAGTACATTCACACTGCTGTGCAGCCAACACCACTATTCATTTCTAGAACTTCATCACCTCAAACAGACACCCTACAGCCATCCAGCAAGACCTCCCTGTCTCCCCCCGCCCAGCCCTGGCACCTTAAATCAGCTTTCTGTCACTATGAATTTGCCTGGATATTTCATAAAAGTCTGGGCATTTCACGTAAGTCGAATCATCCAGTATGTGTCTTTCTGTGTCTGGCTTATTTCACTCAGCATAATGTCTTCGAGGTTTGTTCACGTCGTAGCACACACCTGAGCTTTCATGTTTGTATCATAGCCCATTCTGCGTATATACCGTGTTTGTCTTCCATTCGTCCGTTGATGGACATGTGTTGTTTCCGCTCGGGGCAGCTGCTCACGTGCAGACAGGAGCTTTCCAGCTACTCAGTGCAGTTCCGGGGATGCTTGCAGAAGCCTGGAGAGCCTGCCTGCCTCGGGGTCGGGGGAAGGGGCACCCTCCATGTGCGTGGTGAGGGACGGTGCTGAGGTTTTCAAAGCAACTAACCCTGGCATGTTTAAAAAGCCCTGGATAAATACTATGCTTGTTCTCATGCCAAGACCACCTCTAACTTGGTTCCCTTCCTGTCCACTTCATAGACTCAGAGTCAAAGAAAATCTGCTGAGAGTTCATTTTATCCTTAGCTTCCAGGTGTGGAATCGTCGTCTCCTATAAGTGGACATGTAGCTTGTTCTTGACATGCCCCAGAGTAGCTCTGTTGGAGCCTCAAGTCTACTGGGTGGGCAGACCAACCCTAACTGGCCTCAGTTTCTCCTTCTGTAAAATGGTATAAACCCCTTGGCAAGAAATTGTACACCCTCTGGGACAGACAGGTTATGACGTTCCTTTTTCATTCAAACCGAATTTCTTCATCGCTGCTTGGACTGTCCCTCTCTCATCTGTGAGAAGGAACTGCCAGCACCCCCCACCCCCACCCCCGCCCCACAGTGATGCTGTATCTCCCGGGCCACGCCGGGGCGTCTGTGGTCTCAGCCTCCGATTCAGTGACACGGAGTCCCCAGCTGTAAGGCGGAGGGATTGCGGTTCCTGTGCTGGTTGGCTTTCTTTTCGACAACGGTGGTGCTTTAGACAGGGGTCCCCGCCCTCTGGCATCCAGCCCACCCCGGAGGCCCAGCGGCTCCCAGGTGGCCTTGGGAGAGGTCGGTTTATGCCTCACCGGATGCACTGCCCCTTCTCTCGTCACCAGGGAATAAAAGGCGCTGGCCGTCACGCCGCACCGGTGTCCCCCGAGGCACGAGGCCACCCACAGCCGTCTTTCTTTTTCAGAACGATAAATCTGAAAAGCCCGCTGCTGCAGCAGGTGTTGGAGAGGAACGAGACCCTGTGTGTCCTCACAGAGAAGATAGTGACAACGCAGAAGTGTGTGGTGTCGGAGCGCATCCAGGTTGAGGAGAAGTGTGGTGGCATGGTGGGGGTCCGGACCAAGACCCTGCAGGTGCGGGTGCGGGTGGGGCGGGGTGCGGGGTGCGGGGTGGGGCGCGGGGCGGGGTGGAGGTGCAGGCCTGAGGGCTGGGGCCGCAGCACCCACTCTGGTTCCAGCTGCTAGGACCTCAGTGGGTAGTGTCTTCATTCGTCAGGACCCTTTGCGTAGCAAATTAACAGAAATCCAACCAGAATTGGCTTACGCGAGAAAGAATTTATTGGCTCGTGTAATGGAAGCATTCAGGGCTGGCTGGCTTCAGTCACTGCTGGATCCAGGACTCCCGTTGTGAGCGCCTCCCCGCGGGTGGGTGCCCTCGGACAGGCCCTCTCCGTGTGGCGCGGTAGCTCCAGGCACTCCTCCCCCCGGCTGCGGCCCCTGTGGGCAGAGAGCTCTGGGCTGGCTCTCACTGCCCTGGCCGGGGTCGCCCCTCCCTGAGTGGGCCCAAGGCCAGGGCAGTGGGACTCTCAGATTGGCTGTGTCCGTTTGGGTCAGGTGCATTCCCGCAAGAAAATGGGTCAAACAAGCACAAGCCAGGCCAAATGCATGCGTAGCCCCTAGCGTCCCTTGGGATCAGGGGCCCCAGAATGCTAGCTTTGGGATTAGCAGCCTCAGATCCTTGGCGCGTCGAGTTAGGGAAGGTAAGGATCTGTACATCTGTCTGTCTGCAGGTGTGTAAACAGGTGCTTCTGGATTACACTGTGGACAGTCTTGCCTAAGCTGACCCTGAGCCAGTACTAAACTTCCGGGGGGTGGAAGGCTGTCTCCCCCAAGCCCTCCCCCTCCAGCTTGTCGCGCTGCCTGCTACTTGATTCTTAGAGGCTTATTTCTTGGGGTAACTTATGGCCTTTGCTAGAGGACCCAGGAAAGTTGAGTTTGGGAGGTGGAGCTACAGGCCCGGTGCTGGGTTCTCCTGGGGTGGCCAGGCTGGGCGGGCTGGCCAGCAATGACGAGGGACATGCCCGATGGGAGGTGGCTTCTGCTGGCCCTGCCAAAGTGTCTGTCCCCGGTGAGCCCACCAGAGACCCAGAGCTTGCTGGGGAGTCAGAAGGCCAGCGGTCATCCTTCTCTGACAAGGATCAAGTTGCTCAGAAAATCTTTGATCTGCAGTGTTTGGGCCACACGTAGATTCTCGTCTCCCTCTCCCCAGGCCATGGTGGGAAAGCGTGGCATTTGTAGTGGTGCTTGAGGGAGGGAGCCGTGGCGCCTGACTCCTGGGCATCTCCTGCCCGGCCTCCTCATCCTTTCTTCCTCCGCTGCCATCCCCCTGGTTTGCACAGCATGGGGTCTGGAGTGATGCAGCACTGGGGGTCTCTTGCAGCTCCGCTCTCCCTCAGGCTTTGACATGGGTTAGGCATTTCATTTGGATTTCAAAGCAGTTTCCATCATCCTCTGTGAGGGAAATGGGAAGTCATCTTCTCCGTCTTATTTATTATCTCCATTGTTCATCACCATAGCCCTAACTTCATTGCCTCCGGAACCTGGAATGTTGCTTTTGGGCCACCATGTTGGCCGTTTACATGGGAATATGTGTACATCGCAAGGCCAACAAGGAGGGATGAAATCCTTACCTCTGCTGGCTGGGTCCCCCTTCCCACTCGGTTCTGTGGGCATTTGCACAAGGCCACAGCGGGGAGGTGGAGCGTGCAGGTCAGAGTGTGCCCTCGCCCACAGGTGTCAGCTATGGAAGATGGGACCATCACCAAGGACAGCAATGTGGTGCTGGAGATCCCGGCTTCCACCACCATCGCCTGCAGCGTCATTGAGTTGTATGTGAAACAGGACGGCCAGTTTGGTGAGTGCTGCTCCTGGCTCGAGGCTCTGGGGAGACAATGGAGCCAAGGCTGAGGGGCGCGCTATCTTCCCCTGGGTCACTCACTGGTGGAGGGCCCCCCACCACTTTGGGGATGGGGACACAAGAGATCCTAAGATTGTGGGGCTATCCCATGAGAAGGGGACGAGCTGGCTGCATGGGGAGCGTGCGCGTGGGGTTTGCCCAGCATGGCACAGGGTTAAGAGCGTGTCCCCCCATGATCAGACAGGCTGGGGATCAGCCCTGGTGTCCTGTGAGGTCTCGGGCCGGCCGGTGGACCTTGCGGAGCCTTACCGCGGCACGGGGCTGCGGGAGGATTAAATAGATGGGGCGCGTGTTGTGCCCGGCACAGCGGTCATTTATTAAGTTCTCCCCCTTGGCTGTTAACATCATCACCACCATTACGTCACCTCCCTTCCCCCAATATGGAGCCAAAAACGCTGCTCTTGACCTTGCTCTGCTGATCAGCAGTGTGTTTGAAGCTGCCCGGTCCTGGTCCTTGCATTGTTTCAAGAAAACCAGGGCTTCGGTTTAGCGCGAGTCTACTGGGCTCAGGTGTGCAGGGCCCTCCCCCCGGCTCTCCCTGGGAAGACGTTGTGTTGAGTCCAAGAAAACTGTTTGCTTCTTGAGGATGTGAATGAATGCATATAACGTAAGTTATTGTTAACCTTTAAGGTATGGTGGTGATATGATTATGTTTATAAAGAAAGAACCATCTGTTTTTTAGAGCTTTCTACTGACGTCCTCACAGGTGAGATGGCAAAGTCTACAGTTTGCTTCAGAAATAACGTGGGTGGAGAGGACAGTATGGGGCAGGTCGAGGTAGAGAGCAGTCGTCCAAGCTGGCCAATGCGTGTGTGCAGGTTCACGATATTACTCTGCTCTTGTGCAGTTTCACGTTTTCACAGTGAAAACGTTGAAAAAGGTGTGCTATCCCGAGTGTGCCCAGGCCGACTGCTGCCTCCTGCACGTGCCCCAGGTGGCTTCTGTCAGGTGGTGAGGACCAGGTTCGGGATGAGGCAGCCTTGGGGGAGCCAACCATTTGTAGTCGCTGGGACCTCACGGGCTACCCCACCGCTGCGCAGCCGATCCAGGCACTGAGAACACTGACTGTCCTTGGAGGACAGTTGGCAAGCTCCTGGGCATGTGAGGACCCAGAGGAAGGACAGCAAGGCACAGAAGGCAGCCCCAGGGCCTCCTTCTTTGGTTTCAGCCTGAGTTGCAGGGGGGGGTGGCAAGAAGTGTTGTCAGTTTTAAGAAGCTGGTCTAGAGAGGAAGGACAGGGACACGTGGAATACCAGGACACCAAGAATTGTCGCCTATGGTTTTTAGATCCCTGGCTCCAAATTTGTGTCATCCGGGGCATTTTTAATCTTATTTTATTCTTTCTGTTTGAAAGACATTCGTCTACTGAACAAACTGCGTTAAGATGGTTAAGTTTTCGTTATCCATCTATGATAAACCGTTGGTACCACGGGCATGAATGTGATTCCAGCCCAGGATGCTTGCACCTTGGTTATTCTGTCTAGGTGGACTGATGGTTGAGGTGTCGCTCTGCAAGCTCGGCCTGCACCTGGGGGTGCTCATGAGTGCCATGAGGACCTTTAGGCGGTTGGGGGGCCAGGCCAGGGTGCCAGTCCAGGCAGGGGGCGCTGTGAGAGCCCTCCTGTTTCTCTGAGGGTTGGGGGGTGCCCCGCCCTGCCTGCTGCTCCGCAGGCACCTGTCCCTTCCTCCCGGGGCCTCTTTACACAGATGGACTTGGGAAGACACAGCCCGGCCTCGTGTGGCTCTCCTGTTTGCATTTCAATTTCAAGGCTTTCATCTCGGCTCGCCTCCGTTGTCTTTGGAAATGAACTCCTCTTGGCGCTGCTGAGAAGAGGTGCCCTGGGGACTTCTCAAGGTTCCTTTGGCTAACTTCCCACCCCCTGGCCTCAGAAGCCCGCCATGTTCACTGCCCTGTCCCGCTGCGTGTGGCCATGCCTGTGCGGCTTGGGGGTCAGGCCCTGGTCCTGTGAGACCCAGTGCCTCGTTCTGAAGCCAGTTCTGCTTTTATTTCCCATCTGTGTTCGCTGTTGCTCCTGCCACAGAATGTTCTGATCTAAAAACACAAACCCACAGGGCCGGCAGGGCCCTTCAGAGCCTGCCTGATCGCTCCTCCCACCGTCCGAGTCGGGGCGCATTTGACAAGCATCCTGCTCACCCTTTGACACTCTGGGAGGAGGCCAACTCCCTCCTTGAGGGAGGCATCTGTGCAGCCGTCTAGATGGGCTGCGCTCAGCCACGACCCTTCCTTCACCCACAGGGCCCCCGGCCCCCATTTCCCACCCTGACTCTTCATCGGCTCCGCTGTTTCTCAGAATCTTTCCCCTCTGTCCATCCCAGCGGCGTAGCCAGTACGATAATTTAAAAGTGAAAATGTCATTTCACTCGCCTGCTCAAACACCTTCCGAGGCTCCCTTCGTCCCAAGGGAGTCTTCGTCTGGCCCGGTCACCCACCAGCCGCGAAGGCTCTGCTCTCGCTGATCTCTGAGCCTCTGGCTGCTCAGACACTGCGTCGCCCAAGAAGCCTTTGCTGGCTCTCCCTGCACCTGCCACTCTGGCTTCAGTGACCCACCTCCTCCAACACCCTCGCGTTAGCCCTGCCCCGCTCGAAGCATGCTGGTGGTCAAGGCCCTTTCGTACCTCTGACCCCCAGCACCATGCCCGGCACTTGAGGAGAGGGAAGGAAGTGGCAGTGCCTTCAGGGGGCTGCGCATGTGCCCAGGCACGAGCGCTGTCAGCGCCATGGGCTCCTGAAACACCCACAAGCGCTTGGCAGGGTTTGAGGCTGTGTGAATGGCCATGGTCCCTGTCCTCGGGGAGCGAAGTCATCAAGGGGGCTGGCGGGGGCGGGCCCGGTTGACACTTCCTCACCTTAGTGCCTGGCGCTAAGGGCGGAGGAGCTGGGACGGCCCAGCTGCTCAGTGAGTGAGCCTCAGTGAGTGAGTGAATGAAGGGTTGTGCCATTTGTCTTAGACAGCCATTCCACCTTTGTGAACGAACGTGTGCACGCGCGGGGGCCCGTGCCTCCCCCTCGCAGGCTCAGGCAGAGTTTTATCCCGTCGCCTGTGCCTAAGCGGACGAACGGTCACACAGAAGCACGAAAAGAGCCTGAATTCATGAGTGCGCTTATTGTTTTTGCTTAGCAAGGACCTAAGGATGGCTACATTTTTTTACCTACAGTTCAGATACGTTAGTTGGGTTCTCAAATATGGAAGTCTATAAGGAAACATTTCATTATTTACAAATTTTTTATTATGGAAAATATCACACATGTTCAGAAGTGGTGTTCACAATATCATGAACCCCATGTACTTCATGCTTCAAGAGTGAGGGCCATTTATGTCTCCTCAGCAATTTCGCTGCCTCCCTCTACTCTACTCACTCGTTTTGAAGCAAATCCTATGTGTTCTATTGTTTGGTCTATAAATATATCAGTATCTCTAAAAGGTAAGACTTTTTTTTAAAAAAAAAGACCAGTTTTGCCTTCACATAGATTCCTGTAGAATATATTCTGTATGTGGATTTTTCACTCAACATGTTTGAGATTCATTCATATAATTGTAGAAGTTCATTTTTTTGGTTGCTATTATTCTGTTAACAAAGTTGACTCCTTGAGAACCATGTAACATAACCACTTGTGCACCTAAATGTATTGTTGACAATTCTGTAATATTATCAATTCATCTGTCAAATCAAATCTGTCAATCAAATTTTCTGTTTCTTTCATACATGGTGAGTCGTTTGTTTAGAGTTGCTTTGTTCAAACCAGGCTCAGGAAATACTTCCAATGTTTGAAAGATTGCTTCCAGTCTGTTCAAAGAGGACACACAGGAGAACCATATGTTAAGAACAACCATTTGTCCTGTGTTTGTAGGAAGTGGATGAGTTTTGACCAAACAGCACAGCACGTGCAGGAGGCTGGTTATGGGGAAGAGGGTGCGTGCATCTCCCTGCCCCGCCGCCTTAAGAAAAGCAGAGTCAACCCTTTGCTGACCTGTCCTCTTCTGTTTTGCAGAATTCTGCCTCCTACAAGGGAAGCATGGTGGCTTTGAGCATGAGAGGAGAAGTGACCCCGTCGTCCTGGATCCCCTGCCCTTTAGAGAGTTTGCATATAGGGACATGCCGGATGCTGGGCAGGAACCCTCTGCCCCAGATGAACCACTGGGTATTTTAAAACAAGGTATTATCTGCGGGGGGTGGGGACGGGGAGGGGGCATGGTGAGCCGATGGCTAATTGAGCATTGTACCCCAAGAAGTGATGGCTTCTGGAGTGGGGAGGTGACGCCAGTGACTTCACGGAAAGCATGAGAACAGAGGGGACAGTGCCTCTGAGTCGGGCCTAGTCCACTCAGGATTCACCTTGGTTGGGTCTTAGGGAGCCTCAGGTCTTGGGTGCCCCATTTTGAGAAAGGGGCCAGAGACTGAGGAGCGTACGAACCCAGGGCCTGGCATTTTCCCCCACTTTAGCCGCAGAAGCCTTGCGGACCACCAAGAATAGCTAGTCAGCAGCCACGGGAGAGAACCCAAGTTTTGCATCTGTTTCGTTATAATCCAGGCTTCGTTGGCAAGACAAGGCTTTGTCAGCATTCGCAGAATGTCTCTGGGAGGCTCTTCACCCACATGGCCTGAAGCCTGTGGGGGCCGTGGCCACCAGGGAGGGGGAGGCCGAGGGGGAGGGGACTACCTGCGACTTGCCTGCAGCAATCCCTTCTGCTCCCCACAGCAGTTAGTGTTTTAAAAAGTTGGAGGGTTTTTTTTCCGGGGGAGGGACAGGGACAGTGGGAGTACAGTATGCAGAGGAGGAGACGGGCGAGGAAGAGGAGAAAGAAAGAGCTGTGGAAGAATTTCGTACAAAGGACTGGGAGCAGCTCAGAATATGCTGTGGCTCGGAGGGTCGGGATGGAGACTGACGGGTGGCGCGTCAGAAAGTCCCAAACCAGAAGATGCTTTCGCTTCGGTAGCAGAAATAGTGTTGGGAGAAATGGTAGTGAAGGCCCCATCTCAGAAGAAGGCTTCCCCGTCTCATGCGGGCCCCTCCTCCGCCTCCTCGAGATCCCTCCTGGGTGTGGCTTCCCGCCGCCACTCGCGCACTGGTGACGTTGGGGGTTAGGCCCACAGCAGCAGTGGCCCTGCGGCCTCGAACTGCGCTGCAGGGAGGTGCCTGGACGGCCTGGGCTGCAGCTTTCCTATAGTTTCCTTCCCCATCAGTCCAGCCTGTAGGTTGACCGTTCTAGTGAGCTGCAGGTTCGGGGTAGGGAGGCGGGAGTAGGGCGGGGCCGGCCTGGCTTTGGGCCCTGAGACCCCTAAGACTGACCAGGGCAGTTCTCTCCAGGCTGGGGCTGCAAAGACCTGGTTGTTCCCAGGGCAGCACTTGAAAATGCCAGTCACTGATGTGACATGTTCCTCTCATGGGGCTGTGTGCAACCCTTTGCTAGAATTTGCCGTCAGCAGAGGTAGTACATTTACCTATTAGTATGCATCCCTACATACAAAAGCTTTTAGATTCCCACTGGGCTTAATTTGCTAGAAGCTTTCGACTCTCTTTAAAATGAAAAAGAAGAAGATGATGATAATGATTCTAAGGGAGAGGCTCGAGCACCCTGCTGAGGGTAAGAGCCCCCATCCAGGTGGGCCTGCGGACCTGCTCTCCGGGACTGGGACGGGTGAAGAGGAAAGGATGGGCAAAGCGCCGGAGCTGGGTTTGTCGTGAAAATGGGGTGCCAGGCTCTCTGCAATGCATGCATGAAATATTAAAGGATACAAAAGCCACAATGTATTAGAAGAAAGGGTGAAAAATAATATATTTTGGAATTTGCATGGTTCTGAAGCATTGCAAAAGTACTGACTTGATATTTAGCAAATCAGCCTTGATAAATTACTTCTACAGAAAGAGGAGTCTAAATGACTTTTCCAGAAAACAATTGATTAGACTTAATGTTTAGTGCGTCATCATAAAAAAACCATGAAGTCTAAAATGAAATGGGGCGGCTCTTTCTGTTCTGTCTCTCTCCACCCTGCCCAGCTCCTTTCTTGTGGGAGTTGGGTTACTGAAACCACGCAGGGTGGTATTTAACTCGATGTCCTTTATTCCCGAGTTCTGCGACTGGCTGTGCAGCTGGGGGTGTCCAGGAAAGAACTGAGGACAATTAGCTATAAAAAGCAAGAGCTGCTGTCCCTGTTCTGAGACACGCACAGCGGTCCTGAGCCGGGTGTTTTCTGCTGCTCCCATAGTGACTCTGCCCTTGGAGAGGACTTTCCGTCCCTTCGGGCAGCTGCCGGAGCAGGAACAGACGGCGCTGGGTGGCATCCTCCAGGTGGTCCTGTTTGATGAGGAGTCACTCATGGCCCTGGAACAAGTGGTAAGACCAGGGACATCTTGAGGCACAGCGTCTCCCCTGGGTGTTCTGCAGATGTGGATGGGCTGGACCTCTTGAGAGAAGGTTTTGAGCTGGGGATACAACTGCATTTCAGATTTCCCCACCTCCCTTAATCCCTAAAGCGTCTGTGTTCTTTACGCTCAGGCCCTTAGTTTTCTGACTGCAGACAGGTAGTTGATGGCAGGAATCTAAATGTGCAGTGGTTTCCTAGTGCTGCTTTAACAAGTGACCACAAACGTCTGTGCTTGAAACAACAGAAATTTATGCTTACGGTTCCGGAGGCCCGGAGTCTCACGTTAAGTGTCAGTGGGCCATGCTCCCCCACAGGCTGGAGGGGAGAACCCTCCCTTGACTCTTGCAGCTCCTGGTCTTCCTTGGCTTGTGGCCATGTGCCTCCAGTGTATATTTCTTCACATGGCCTTCTCCTCTGTGTCATCTCCTCTCTGTGCCTTCATGGACACCCACAGCACCCACAAGCTTTAGGACCAACCTTAACCAGAGATGATCTCATTTCAAGATCCTTGCCTTAATTACATTTGCAACCATTCTTATTCCAAATAAGGTCACATTCTCAGGTTCCAGGTAGACACACATTTGGGCAGGGGGGCACTCTTCGACCCGCTGCAAGGGGACGGTGTGGTAGGGTCCAACAAGTCAACCTCTTTTATTCAGAACAGACTGAACAGCAGGCCTTTGTATTTTTGTTTCATAGCAGGATTTTCTGGGGGGTTGGAGTTCCTTAACGATTCGTTATAGGAGTGGTGAGGAACACGCCAGCTGCTAACTTCCATCCACCAGGCCCTGCCTCCCTGGTGGAGGCTGGGGAGCTATCAACCTGATTTTTGCTATAGTTGTGTTTTTTTTTGTGTTTGGTCTTTCTGTTTTTCTTTTATGCAGAGTATGAACTCTGATTTTCAGATTTAATGCTTTATGGCTTCCAGGAAAGCATTCATATTATTTTTCCCTCTTGAAATTGGGTTGTGCCAAAAGAGCTTAGTGGCCAGTGACAGAACCAGCAGTTGTTGAAATAGTCCAACAGCCCAGGACACCCACGTGTTCTGGAGGATGCAGAGCTCGCGGGAGGGTGGGCTAGCCCCGGGGAGAACACAGATGTTTCCAAAAAAATAAATAAACCACTGACTTTTACTTCCTAAAATGTCTCCTTCCAAGAGGGAAATGTCAGGCCAGCACCCTGCGGAAAGAGCGTCAGGCCGCTTGGGTGGTGGGGGCTGCTGGGCTCTCATACAAATGCATCTGGATGTGGATGCAGCCTTGGGGCCGAACTGGCTGGGTGATGTGGGGGTGGCCAGGGCAGCCCTTGCCAGCAGGGCCCCTCACCTCCCAGCAGGTCCCCTGTGGACGGGTGAGACTGCCTAGGGCCCATCTGGGAATGTGTCTGGGAGCTGGGGTGCCACGTTTAGTGCTCGAGGAGTAGAACCATGATGTTCTACTCCTCAGCTTCGTGTAGTCACTTGTTCCGGGCCCCGGGTCCCACCCGACAGACCCTGTCCTGGGAGATTCCACCCAGTAGTTCCCACATGCCTCCTCCCCTCGCCGCGAAGGAACAGTACCTGGGCAAGGCTCAGTTCGCTGTCTCTGTGAGGAACTCTAACCTGGTGGATTAGTAATTTCAAAACACAAAGGAGAACGCGGAGTCTTGCTTTACTTGGGAGGTGGCAAGGGGTTCAGCATGTGGGTCAGAGAACCCAGCTTGGCCTCTGGCTTCTTCATCACATTGTCTCTGTCCTCCTTTCCCTGCAGTGTGATGACATGGTCGATGGCCTGTCGCCCTCACTGGCGGTACTCGAGGAGCTGAAGCCCCCAGAGCGGCAGAACCTCATGGCCTTCCTGCAGCTGGCGGGGTGCAGCGTGCAGGCCGCGGGTCCGGGCCCGCAGGGTGTGGTCAGCAACCGGAAGCTCTTTTCCACGGCCTACTTCCTGATCAGTGCGCTAGCAGGTATGGAAAAGGGAAGTCCTGTTATTGCCTGTTATTGCTCTGAAATTGCTTTGCTTACTGCTGTGGGAGACTGGTACCTAGGGTTCCACCCCCACCCCCGCGCTTTCGGCAGTACGGGGCGGGTAAGGAGGTGCTGAGGAAGTTTACATGGTTGTCATGAAGTCACAGAGCTGCCTGTGGAGGAGGCCCGTCCACGGCCACTCCCCCGCGGAGCACTTCTCCTCCCTCCCCGGCGGCGGGGGTGGGGGACCGTCTGCGGGCTCACCCCTCACTAACACTGGAAGGCATCTCCCCAAAGACACAGCCTGGCCCTCACCCTTGAGCCCTGGCAGTGCTGAGTGGGAGGAGCTTCCATTGGGCGGTGTCTCGGTCCCTCGGTCCCTCTGATCCTCTTTGCAAGCTCACCACGCGGGAGCTGTAGGGCAGGGAGGCCGCGGAGGGCCCCCCGCCCCCCGGAGCAGCCAGGAGTGGGGTCAGCAGCTCCACGCCTCCGCCAGCCGCTCCTCTGCCCCGCCCACCCAGCGCTCCCCGGGCCGAGGGTCTGTGCTGCCAGAGGGGCGCCTCCTACAGGAGGGCACTGGGCGTTTAGTGCCTCCTCGGAAAGGCAAGACCTAACAGGCTGGCCCAGCCTCCTCGTCCCCACAGGTCCCCTTCCAGGGGCTCTGAGTCAGGACGCTGAGCTCCTGATGCATTCAGGGTTCCTCCCCTGCACCGCACGGAACAGAGGCCCAGGAATCGCCAGTTTTTAAAGAATTGAGGAAGAGAATGCCTCTCGCAGATTTGTATGTCGATGTGTGTGTGCTCTAGGTCTTGTTCTAAGTCACGGATACAAGTTTAGATTGGGACAGAACCTGAGGCAGAGCCCTGTGGAACCCAGCAGAGACCTTCCCCAGTGTTAATGATCATCCTCCAACGGGCTAATTCACAGCTTGTGAGAAGCCTTTTGACAAACACTTACTGAAATATTTCTATCAATAGGCTGGTTAGGGATGTCAGATACGTAGCACATGGCCGACATTGTGCGTGCACCACAGTCCCTTCTCCCTGAGCCTGGACACAGCCTCAAACTCTCTGCGACCTTGCACACGGGCACACACTTGGAGTGGACACATAACGTGAGACTCCGTGGCTATGTCTGAGCTGGAAACTCAGGGGTAGTAAAATCTTTAAGTGCAGCTGAAAACATCTGCAGCCATTGTCTAAGCCAGCGATGCCCTTTTGAATTTCTCTGAGCGGAGATCTCATTGACATGTCAGTCACTGCGGAGGTCAGACCAGTGCAGAGCGCTCTCATTAGTGCTCTTGTTAATTGGTCCGCAGCCCTCCTTCCTCCTGCTACCACAGCCTTCTCTCCTGAGAATCTGGGGAAAGTGCTCGAACCGAAAATGGCCTCTTCTCGAGTCCTGTTTCCAGCTCTCTAAATAATAACACCAGTTTTAAGCTTTATAGTGCTTCACTTTAAGAATTGAGATATAATTGGCATATAGCATTATACTGACTCAGGCATACAACATAATGATACTTGTATGCATTGCAAAATGATCACAATGTCTAGTTAACATCTATCACCATACATAGGTACACATTTTTTATTGTGATAAGAGCCAAGATTTACTCTTAGCAATTTTCAAATATACATTGCTATAGCTATTGTCATACATTACATCCCCATGACTTATTTAATTTTTGAATTTATTGTGGTGGCATTGGTTAACAAAATTATATAGGTTTCAAGTGTACAATTCTAATACATCTTCTGTATATTGCATTGTGTGCTCACCACCCAAAATCAAGTCTCCTCTGTCACCATATATCCCTGCTTTACCCTCTCCTACCTCCCCCAACCGTTTCCCTAGGGAAATCACCATCCTGTTGTCTGTGTTTTTTTCCTTAATCCCTTCATGGTTTTTGCCCAGCTCCCCAACCCTCTCCCCTCTGACAGCTGCCAGTCTGCTCTCTGTATCTATTAGTTTGTTTCTGTTTTGCTGTTATTTTGTTAATTGGATTCCCCCTATAAGTGAAATCATTGGTACTTGTTCTCTGGCTGCCTTATTTCACTTAGCCTAATGCTCTCCAGGTCCATCTGTGCTATGGCAAAAGGTAAGATTTCCTTCCTTTTAAAAAAATTAGCCAAGTAGTGTTCCATTGTGTAAATGTACCAGAGCTTTTTATCCACTCACCTACCGATGAGCACTTGGGCTGTTTCCAGATCTTGGCTATTGTAAATAATGGTGCCGCGAACACTAGTGTGCATATATTCTTTTGAATGGGTGTTTTGGGTTTCTTCAGATATATTCCCAGAAGTGGAATCACTGGGTCATAAGGCAGTTCCATTTTTAATTTTTTTTTTTTTGGCAACTCCATACTGTTTCCCGCAGAGGCTGCACCAGCCTGCATCCCCACCAGCAGTGCATGAGGGTTTGCTTTTCTCCACGTCCTCGCCAACACTTGCTGTTTGTTGATTTATTGATTGTAGCCATTCTGGCAGGTGTGAAGTGCCATCTCATTGTGGTTTTAGTTTGCACTTCTCTGATGATGGGTAACACTGAGCATCTTTTCATATGTCTATGGGCCATCAGTATGTCCTCTTTGGAGAGGTGTCTACTCAGGTCCTTCCCATGCCTTCTTTTATTTTATAGCTGGAAGTTTGTAATTTTTAACCACCTTTACTCATTTCATGCCCCATCACCATTCCTCACATCTGGCGACTGCCAATCTGTTCTCTATGAGCTCACTTAAAAAAAAAATTCCACATGTAAGTGAGATCATATGGTATTTGTTTCTGTCTTATTTCAGTTAGCATAATGCCCTCAAGGTCCAACCATTTGCCAAGGCTGCCAAAATGACAAGATTTTCTTCCTTTCTAATGGCTCAGTAATATTCCAATGTATATGCACACCACATTTCCTTTATCCATTCATCCACTGACACTTAGGTTTTTTCCATATCTTAGTTATGGTTAAATAATGCTGCAATGAACGGGGTGCGGGGTGCATATATCTTTTTGAGCTGGTATTTTCATTTTCTTTGGCTATATACCCAGAAATGGAATTGCAGGATCATATGGTGTTTATATTTTTAATTTTTTGAGGAATCCCCCTACTGTTTTCCAAAAAGGGTGCACAAATTTGCATCCCACCAACAGTGCACAAGGGTTTCCTGTCTCACACCCTTGCCAGCATTTATCTATTCTGATCCATTTGTCTGTTTTTATGCCAGTACCATACTGTTTTGATCACTGAAGCTTTGCAATATAGTTTGAAGTCAGGGAGTGTGTTGCCTCCAGCTTTGTTCTTTTTTTCCTCAGGATTGCACTGAATGTATAGATTGCTTTTGATCACGTGGACATTTTAACAATATTAATTCTTCCAGTCCATAAGCACAGAATATCTTTCCATTCTTTTGTCTTTTACAATTCCTTCATTTAATGTCTTATAGTTTTCAGTGTTCAGGTGTTTATTCTCCTTGGATAAATTTATTCTTAGGTATTTTATTCTTTTTGCTATGGTTGTAAATGGGATTGTTTTCTTAATTTGATAGTTTATTAGTGTATAGAAACAACAGGTTTTTGCACACTGATTTTGCATCCTGCAACTTCACTAAATTTATTAATTCTAACAGTTTTTTGGTGGAGTTTTTAGAACTTTCTAGAACTTTTATTTGCTTTACGTCTTCCTTTCCAATTTGGATGCCTTTTAATTCTTCTTGCCTAGTTGATCAAAATTAGATGTTTGGGGTCTCTTCTCCCTGGTGTAGGTGGGTGCCCAATGTAGTTGGTTTCTAGGGGTATCCAGCCTGTGGCCTGTGGGCCGCATGCAGCCCAGTATGGCTGTGAATGTGGCCCAAGACAAAATCATAAATTTATTTAAAACATTACTTTTTTTTTCTTTTTTGAGATTACACGTCGCAATGTGTTTAGTGTGTGGCCCAAGCAACTCCTCTTCTTCCAGTGTGGCCCAGAGGCGCCCAAAGGCTGGACACCCTGGAACCCTTTGCTCCTCAGGAGAGGCTCTGGGTTGTGAGTTTCCTTTCAGTTGTGAGTTGTCAAACCCAGGGTGGGGTTTTCAGTGAGAGTGTGTCTCAGCCTTTCTTACCTGCTTCCGTGTGGGTTTTTCTCAGAGGAGCTTGTTCCACTGTAACTGTGGGTCTGGTGCATCCAAGGAAGGAGGTGAGTTCAGGGTCTCCCTCTGTCCCCATGTTGAACTGGCCTTTGTTCAAGTTCTGTGTTGAACTTGTTCAAGCTATTTAGCCCCAGCCCTCACTTGTAAAATAGAGTCAGAATATGGGAGAGCAATCGAAATAAATCATTCACATTCAAGAAACACTGAATGAGCCTATACTATGTGTTAGGTGCTGCTAGGTAATGAGGTAAAAACCATCCTTGCTCTCAAGGAAGTTAGAGCCAAGTAATAGTTAGTTGGTAAACTGTAAAGCAGACTGTCCCTTCATCCCTGTGTCCCTAAGTACCGTGCTGAAAATAGTGAGCGACCACCTGAGTAACAGAGACCCGAAGTATTTCCGGTAAGGGATGATGACGGTTGCCCAGGGCCCAGGAGACTCCGGAAGAGGCGGGGGACGGAAGCCTGAGCAGGTCGTCGTGGCAGTCGCCCAGCCAGGACTTTCTCACATCCCAGGTGACTTTGTCCCTGCCCTTCCCAGCCCCGCGGTCCTTCCTCTAGGCCACCTACACTTCCTGTCTTCCTCTTTCCGACTTGGGACGAAGGCCTCCTTGGGAACTGGTTGATGGCTGGGAGCCCTCTCTGTAGGCCAACGCACAGACCGCAGCTCAGTGCAGTTTTAGAGGGCTCTCTAGCAGTATCCTCGCCGGAGCGGCCCGTCCTTGCAGCAGCCTCCTCGGCTGGGCCACGGCCTCAGTGACTCGCCACTGGTTATAAATAAGGCTGCTAATGAATGAAGGAGATGGAGTTCATGAGCGGTCACTGGGCCAGCTGACTCAGCCAGTGACTCTTTTCCGCTTGCCTTTTGAGCTGAAAGGTTGTGTCTCTAGGGAGCGGGTCCTTTTGGCAACTGCACGTATTTTGCCCTGAGAGGTATTTAACATCCGTTTTGAACAACACTGACCTGGATTTCCTTTCCCTGGGGCTTGACAGGGTCGGGCTCCTGGCGCAGTGGCCAGCTCCACACAGCGCTGTGGCGCGCCCGGCCGCTGGCGCCCTCTGTCAAGCCTGCGGTGGGCCGGGGCCCCACACGGCCCTGGGTTCATGAGGTCTGTTGCGCCGTCCCTTTATCAGGCCACATTGCATTTTTCTCCTGAAATGACTGAAGGGTTCTGAACCCCGGTTATGATAGTTTACTCAGGTCTTTGACATGAAAAAAAAAATCTGTGGTTAATTGAGGACACATTCTCAGAGAGGTGCATCCGAGGTCACACCCCACATATGTAGTGGGGCCTAAACGTACCTCCTTTCAGCAAATTCCTGATTCTTTCTACTTTTCCTTGCTTTTCCCTGAGTCTGTACAGCTCTTCCTCACTGGCAAGTTAAATGTCAAAGACTATCCTCTGGTGAACACAAAGCTGGCTACCTGGTTCCTCCATCTATTTTCTAAAATGCCTTTCCTGCCTGGTTAGCGCCACTCATTCATTCACTAATTACTGAGCATAAACTCTGCCCAGCTGCCCGGAGAGCCCGAAAGTATAAATTAGGTACCATCCAGGGGTTGGCTCTGTTCCCATGGATACTTTTATTTTTGACAGTGACTGATTTTTGTCTTCTGCAGAAATGCCAGAGAATGCAGCGGCTCTGCTGGGAACCTGCTGTAAACTCCAGATTATTCCTACGCTGTGTCACTTGGTAAGGAGCCTCCCTGCAGGGACTGGGGTGGGCAGGGCTGGGGAAATGAGGCGGAGCCGGACACCCGACAGCTGGTAAAACGCGTCCAGGCCTTCCCTTCCACAGCAGCCCTTCACAATAGGTCAAACAGGTATTAACTCCAATGTTTTACCCCCACCTACACCACACACCTCCCCTCCCAGGAAGACTGAGGCCCAGAGGGAAAGGATTTATTTGAAAATCTTGCTAGCGGGGCTAGGACTTGAACCTTGTCTTTATACTCCAACCCTTACGCTCTTCTCATTTTCTGGAGAGAATTTTGGCCACGGCCTGGTGCAGCATTGCAGGGAGGGAGCTAGACCCGTTTTATTTTGCTCTGTACCAGGTTCACCTGGCAGGTTCTGAAGAGGGACTGCTGGGTCTCAGAGAGACGTTTCATTCTCCCCCAGGATCTCAGGAAATGTCAGGGCTGGAGCAAGGTTAGGTAATGAGTTTGGCCCTCAAACTCAGGATTAAGCTTTTCCTTTTTAAATTACAAATTGGGTCATTCCTAGATGGAACCATCAGTGAGCTGCCTGGAACCCACTCTCGCGGGGCAGCTCCTCTCAGGCAGCTCCTGCAGGGGCTGCTCAGCCGGGGCCAGGGCACGCTTACTCAGGGCGGAGGCCGGCGTGCTCTGCGGGCCCCACGCTCCCGCCTTTGCGTCCAGATCTGGGAAGTAGACCTCGGGGTAGACCGCCCGCTAGGGCCTGGAAACGCCACCCCCACCCGGGGAGACTGAGCACCGCGGTTAGTGCCTTTGGTGCCTCTTCGCCCAGGAAAGGCATCTGAAGACCGCGGCCAGCCCTCATCCCAGGGAGCTGTGCTGGCGCCATTCACAGCCCGAAGCAGGTTCTGCCCGCCCAGGGGAATGTGAGTTCCTGTGCTTTGACCACAGAAACTGAACTATGAAAACATGCCGGCGGCGTGCGTGTACTGTGGCCAGCTGGGGGGTCCAAGCTGGTGGTGTAGTTTGGTTGTGGAAACAGTACGTTTCCATACATCACTGTAGCTCAGCTTTTGTAACCCAGCTCTGTTTCGCAACAACTGAGTGCTTAGCATTTCCCAAATTAGTCCTTACCAAGTATTTACTAAGTCACCGACTGGATTCAGGAAGTACATAAAAAAAGAAAATACCACCAAGGCCATATTACTCAACTCCCTCTCCCAACAAACTCCTGCTTAGTTGTCATCTTCCTTGCACATCAGCTCTAGGATTTAATCTGTGTTGCCTCCAAGGCTGCTCGCTGGTGTTTTAAAAGTAGCCCTTAGGACACACACCAAGTTCCAGCGTGGCTGGTATTCTGCTTTGGCACAAAAGCTTCCCACCCATAGAGTCCTTTGTTTGCCTTCCTGGGCTGCTCAACACAAAATTATTTTCCTTTAAAGACCTTCCTGGGTGTCTTCACATAATCTCCCCTAGATATTGCAACAACTCAAGACACGCAGGCTCCTGCCTCCTGAAGGAATTGGGGTATCGGGTTTCTTACAGGGATTTACTTAGAATAAGGTATAGAAATTTACCGGCACTTCATGTTTTCTGGTCTGGTGGCCAGAGTATCCTTGAGAGGCTTTCTAAGGCCTTTTGGGAGAACAGTGTCAGACACACTAACACATCTGCCCAACTGGGAGAAGGTAAGTTAGAATCAGAGAGTGTTAATTTTATCCCACCACCCTCTGAGTGACTGTAATCTCTTTGGTACCTGGAAGTGCCTCTGGGCACTTGGGGTTGGCAGCGGGGCAGAGCAGGAGGCTGGAGGTGGCTCAGCACCGCGCCCCAGGGCTCGCCGTGCTGGGGCCACCGTTGGCCTGTGTCAGCGGAGCTCCTTCTAAATCGCAGGACGTGGTGCTTAAGGAGCAGGCCTAGCCACGCTCTAAGGCCTAATTGATAGTTCACAGTCTGGGCCAAATGGTAACACTAAGCCTGTGGTTACACAGTGGGAGCTGTATGTGGCAGGCCTACAAGATGTAGATTTGTAAGGCTGATTTGGATAATAGACACCCAAGTGCTTTTGTATGCAAATGAGTGCGGCAGGCAGGCTGCATAGCGCTCTCAGGACGGTCACCACTGCTCTCGGGGCACTTCTGGGATTCTTGAGGATCCCCTTCGGATGTAGTTAAAATTCACACGTACTTTGTAGGCGTCATTTTTAATTTTGAGTTTTACTTTATACATTCCTAACCTAATCTGGTTCTGAATACCTGTTTAAAAATCAAATTTACTGGCAAATTCGCAATTACTGAAGATTAGACAATGAAGTGTCACAGGCACAGATCAAGACCCCAGAGAGCAAAGTTTCAGATGTTTTCAGCGGTTACAGTTAGAGCAGCAACCTCGCCAAAGGACTCACAGTCATGCATCACGCCGAGGGTCAAGTTCTAGGCAGGGTGAATGGCCAACGCGACAGACGGCCCGGGTCCCTGCGCCCCTGAGCAGCTCAGGCTTTAGCAAACAGACTAACCCGTGATTGTCAAGAAGATTAATTTCAGATAGAGCACGCACATGAAGATAATACAATAATGTAACAGTGGCTGGGATCGGGGTGGGAGTGGGTGGGTGGAGCAGGGTTCAGCCAGGCCCTTATCCCCGCAGCAGTTCAACGGACAACTGAGAGACAGGAGGGAGAAGTCTGCGTGGAGCCTCGGAGGGAGAGTATCCAGATAGAAGGAAGAACAAGGGCAAAGGTTCTTGAGGCAGGAAGCGTACAATAAACTATGGTAGTTTATTTCCCTTTGAGGAATTTGTGCAAATATTCTAAAAATCTTCATTAAAAAAATCAAACAAGCCTTACCTACTGCATGTATAAGCAAGTTAAATTCTCACCTTTCTAATCTACTGGTGTTAATGCATCTAGGAGCAGGTAGTTCAGAGAGTAGGGATTTAGACAGGACTCCAGGCAAATTGGAACACTCAGGCCTGAGGTCCTGGCCTGGGACAAATATATCTTTTTACATCTTAAAGGTTTCCTGCTCCATTTGGGAAATTAAATTTTTTTTTTCATAATTAGCTAGAAGTGTGTTATTATTCAACAATGCAGACTTTCTGCAACATGTTCAAGTGAAAGTTTAAAATGTGCCATTTCAGCTCCGTGCACTGTCTGCTGCTGGAGAATCTGACCTTGAAGAGACAGCCCTGGCTCCTCTGAGAGATGCAGAGCGGTTCGGGATCGCGCAGCGCCTGCTTGCCACAGCCAACGTTACCCTGGAGAGACAACAGTCCTCTGTAAAAGCTGTCACCTGCCAAGTCCCCAACATTTCCCCACTCGTTCTTTATATAAGCCTGAGTGGGCTCCATGCTTTAGGCAGAGCACAGCAGTAACATCACACGTGAATCACGAGTACATGTCATCAGCCAGGGCTGGGCACTTCTCAGCATCACTCAGCTACTACTGCTTTGGAGCTGAGGTCAGAGCCACATTAAGTGTTGATCAAGGAAATGAATCCGCAAGAGTTTAAAAAGTGGCGACCTTGTGCACTGAGTCACCGCGAGCTTAGCCACCGGGTACTCTGTAAGTGGCTTCTTTTTCACAAGAGGGCCTCTGGTGCCGGTGACCCAGTGTGACACTAAGCTCCAGCACTGGGAGAGCAGGCAGAGGGCTGACTATCCTAAACCAGCATACATTCGGACCCTTTTTTCTGCAGAAAAATGGGTCCATCTATCACTTTTATTTCCCACTTTCTTCCTGTTATACAAAAACAGATGGGTCTGACACTTTGATCCAAAAATTCATTTTAAATTGTGAATGCTGTGGGAAGGCAATTTCTCTTCATAGAAGGCTACATTCTGGATGTACTGTGTGCTCTGTAGTGACTGAAAAATGAACTATAAATGCCACTGAAGTACATATATTCTGCTAAATAAAACTATACTAAAAAAAGTCTAATAACAGACCACCCTTCCTTAGGGGTCTGGCATAAAGCATGTTATCTGACTTTGTCATGCTTTGATGAACATACATATTCTATGTCAAGAACCATGTGCTGATTTTCCATGCATGCTGGATGTTTAACTTGTAAAATACGTATCATTCCAAAGGAAACGCTGAATGGTACATATATTGCTCTTTGTTTTCACATCCTTCTACTATAAATAGCCTGGGGACCGAAGCCCCTCTTGCCTTCCCTTATGTGGCTGAGCCCTACTGCGCGCATTGGTCTAATTTAGGAGCCGGGAGGCCTAGAGACGCGGAGCAGCAGCTGTTGGAGAGAAGCGTGTTGCTCAGCACACTTTTCCCCTCACCGTCATCTCCTCCTCCCCGCCCTGCCTTTAAGATTTTAATAAGGAAGACAGGAAGCAAATAATCCTTTCATCCCTATTAAAAATAAGGCTAAACCTTATGCAAATACTTATGATATGTGAGGAAAACAGGATACAGAGCTGTACACTGTGGCAGCAAGAACATAAAAAAGAAGCACCTTATGCCCAAATTGGAAGGCAACACAAAAGAGAAAATAGTGCTAAAATGCTGGCACAACCCATGCCTTTTTGTCTGGTTTTCTGAAATAAAATAAGTACACAGAACAAACTGTAGACTGTGCAATAGGAGTCTGCTTGTGCAGAAACTAGACATACATGTGTCGCGATGCACGGGAAATCTCATTTACAAGTCTCCTAGAAACCCAACAGTGGTTCCTTTGGGGAGAGGATTTAGAGGTTAGGGTAAAAGGTGGGGGTTCGCCCTTCTGTTCCTGTTAGTATTTTGTATGTATGATCTTCTAAATAATAAAAAGCTAAACCAACACACACACACACACACACACACACACACACACACACACACGCGCGCACGCGCTTCGGACAGAAAGAAAAGATGCCATCCCAGCAAGCGGCAAAAGCTTGGGTTACATCCAACAGACAACTAAGGCATTTTAGCTGTTTCCACAGCTGCCCTAACACTGGCCAGTCACCCTGCTGGACGCAGCCTGAGGCTGCGACAGGTGTTCCCAGCCCCGAGTGACTGCCGGGCTGGTCAGCAGACCGCCATGGGGGTGTGGTGGGCCCACAGTGCTGGGCCCGGTGCGTGAGGGGGACGCTGGGTCTCCAGAGGTGTCTTCTAACCGGCATCCTTATCCTTCAATATCATTATTAATTTGAAATTAACTTTGTTTACTGCTTGAAATCAAGAACGATACTTATTTTAGTTAGATTTGGAAACAAGTTCTAATAGGCCTGGTCACCTAGAAAACAGACAGTAAACAGAGCAGTATTTCTTGTGACAGAACAGGACAGCCTCCTTGACGCGGATGTTTCCACGACTGCTTCGCTTTCATAAATGGACGCAAGAAACACTGACTTTAGCTAGTGAGGTATGGCCTGACAATGGCCTCTTAAAGATGTCCATGACCTGGCACATGTGACCATGTTACCTTACATGACAAAAAGGGGCTTTACAGGAGTTTTCCATGTTAGGGGCCTCGAGACGGGCAGATACCCTGGATCATCTGGGTGAGCCCTTACAAAAAGGGAGAAGAGTCAGGGAGAGAGACCTGGCCAAGAAAATACAGGAAAGATGAGGTGTGACAAGGATTCTATGCAGTTGCTAGTTCCGAACACAGAGGGGACCAGTTCAGGGACGAGAGAACAGTCCCTCCAACAGCCAGTAAGGAAGTGCGGACATCAGTTCGACAACTGTGTGAACCAACGACCTGCAAGAGCCTGGGAGCAGTTCTCCCCGAGACCTCCAGAGAGGAGCCAGGGCGGGCCCAGGAGGCATCTTGACTTTGGCCCGCTGAGACCTGTGCTGGGTTTCAGATCCTCAGAACTCAGATAAGTCTGTGTGTTAAGCTGCCAAGTTGCAGTAACTGGTTACTGCAGTGATAGCAAATTGACAGGCAGTATAAGATAGAAGGATGAACTGCAGTAAGTGCTCATTCAATGTCATTGATAGGTTCTTGGAAATTGCAACTTTAAGTGAAACGTAACAAAATCATTTTTAACCATAAGCTAATTAATATAAACATGAGTCAAGAAACACAAGTTCTTACAGCATATTTCTGGTCACAAAAACAACACAAAACTTCTAACTGAAGACCCAAAACACTTCTGATAATAAACAAAGAAATAGATGTGAGCTATACAATCATTTATGATGATAAAAACAAGAAAACAATTTTCCAACCCAATGATAACAATTTAGGGTCACAGGTAGCCCAGTCTTTCTAGCAGCGCGGGGCACAAGGTGAGACCCACCCTGGACGGGACACTCTTGCATCACAGGGCCACTCACACCCATATCCACTCGCTCTGACTGGCATGAGTCAGACACGCCAGTTAACCCAACATGCCCATCTCTGGGATGCGGAAGGAAACAGGTTCCCAGAGAAAACCCATGCAGACGTGGAGAGAACGTGCAAACTCCGCATAGACAGTGGCCCCAGGCAGTAATTGATTTTTTCCCCCTCATCATCAATAGAACGAAACAACACTGAACAAAATTGACGTTCAAGGAACTGCTGTATATAAAACCCAACTCTTTTGGAGACATCAGAAATACACTCAACTGGGAATTTCTTAAGTAGGAGGTATGGAGTCCCAGAAACCAGCGTGGGAAAGGGTATCAAAGTCCCTTTTCTGGAAAGAGGCTTCCTGCGCTCACCCAGTCACGCCTCCATCTCCAGGCCAGCCAGGGGGGCCCACCGCCCTGTCTCCCCGCAGCCTCGGAGCTGAGCTGTGTGCCACAGCAGGCTTGTCTTTCCCTCCAGGGCTTCTCCTCCCTGGGCGGCTGGGAAACGGTCCTAGGATTACTTCACGCCATCTAAGTATAGAGGTCTTTTCTTGATCCTACATCTTAATATTCTCCGTCTTTGACTTAGCTCAAGTATGTTGTCTTTGAAAGCTTGGGCTGGTGTAGAGGACGCAATAGTTAGGGTTCCCTTGTTAAACAGGAGAGGCAGGTGGCAAATTTAAACATCTTGATGTGAAAAAATGGTATTAGAGGCTTTTTATAAAAACCACTGGCTTTTAAAAAAAGTTTCCAAGACTAATCTCACTTCCTCTGTATTTTATTATTTATAAGTCTTGGTTCTACCTATAAATAAAACAATACATTTTTCCAATATTAAATATTTATTTTTTACATACAAAAATATTTTACCAGGTGTATGCAATTTCACCAATAGACCATGTCAATAGTTTTTGTTTTGGACAGCACATGAAAATATGTGAAAAGAAAAATTTATAGGGACGGCTTCTGAAAAATCAATACTTAATTGTACTGCAGGAAAATTTTATTTATACAAGGACAGTTTCTTTTACACAGGAATTAGCAATACAATTACTTGGCGAGCAGTAGCAATTTTTATTTTTAAATTTTTTTCATTAGAAACTTACTTTAGCAGCTTGTTTAGCTTTGATTTTTAGGTTGCTAACAAGGTTTTGTCCTCTGTTAAAAAAAGTCTACAGTCACTTCATAGAGTTTAAAAAGAGCATGCATTTGTGCTCAGAATAAAGATACACCAAAATGAAACGGGAAAACCATCCCCCAAAGCAAGGATTTCACAAAGGAGAGTCATCGCAGCCTCTACCAGAGCTCAGCGCGTTATGTAGAAAGTGACATTTGTTGTCGAACCCTAGTGTTCACTCTTCACTCGTCTACAGCAAAATCCACGATGCCGCTTTCTTAACAATTAACGTTACAGAAGAGACAGGAGCCCTCTTTTAAGACAGCATACAGCCAAAAGAAATACTCTTGTATTTCCGACACAAATGGAGATGAGCTAGTCCTCAAGTCTGGTTCTGTCTGAAAAGATGTGGCATTTCTCATTTGGACCATGTTCATCAGAACAACCTTTCTGTGTTCTAAGCAAAGTGACTTCTACTACTGTCCATCTCTCCTATTTAAAGAGGAAAACCACTTATTTTAAGTGGTAATGACTTCTGGTTTAAGGCTGGTAACTTGCAGCTGAGTTTTTAATGCTATGCATTTTCCCTCTTCCTCCAAGCTCCCAGGTCACCTTGACTGATATGAGGAAAGAGAAATTTCAGGGATGGTCTATCAGATATATGTTCCTACCTATGGCATGGTGTTTTTGAAGTACAATAAAGACCTCAGTTCCCAACTTTTAAAATAAGACCTTTGGGCTTTTGTTCTATGTAGCCTGTTCCGTGGGACCCAGGACAGGTTTACAAGCATTGAGGGATTCCATCTCCCAAGTTATAAGCAGCATTGTGTTGGCTGTAGATGTGTTCATTCAGTTTGTGCTGGAGATTAGAAAATAGCAAAAGCTAGCATAAAAAAAGCGGGGGGGGGGGGGGAGAGAAGTGTCGCTTCTGACTGACTTTGGTGGCATAGCCCTGCCGGTTAGATCTAGATTGACCATCACAGCACTGCGTTATCAGCCAGCCAAGGCTGTGGGGCAACTAAAAGGCATTTGAGTTGGGTTAGAGGTCCACTGATGCTCTGTGAATGTTTCTATTAAGAAACAGACACCTTTTAAACTTTATACAATACTATCAGTTAAACAATATGGGCTGTGGTGATCAACTTCAGGTCTAAGAAGAGCAGGTAGGGCAGCTTTAAGGGGCAAAGACCAGTGTGTCTGCTGATGTAATAGAGTACTGGATCGCTCACTTAAATTTGATCTTTGAGTGCTCTCGTTGGCAGCAAGGACTTGCTAAGAGGTTGGACTTGGAATGGGATTCAAACTAAAATGGACCTTCTGCCTAGGGCAACTAAGAGAGAGGAAGGAACAGACCCTCTTCCAGGCTGGAACTACATCCTCAGAGCCATTTTAAAACTGTAGATAAGATTCCTGAATGGTGCGCACCATTTACTGTTACCTCTGAAAGACATACACTTTAAAAGAACTAAAAATAATTAACCTCATTGTAAGCAAATATATACAATAAATAAAGTAGCATAATAAAGACTTTGTAGTTTAGCATTCATCACATCAGAGTTACAAATTGCTTCTTGTAATTTAAGCTGACGACAAATTTAAGTTAGCCTTATTTAAATAAATGGAATATTAAAAATAAAGGAATATACAAGTTTTACCAAAGGCCAGTCACATGGTCAGGAGTCAGAATTAGATCTCAGTCAGTAGAAGTACATCATCTCTATTTTTATCAAAAGAGAGACCATTTTAAAGAAAGTAGTGCAGTGCATTGCAGAAGTGCAAACCATGCTTTTAAATTCTTACCTTAGATATTTGATATCATCATTTCCTTCACTTTTTTTGGTGGACTCATTTTTGATCCTGTGCACTAAGTAATTCCAGGAGCACAGAAAGTAACAAGACAAACTATGGGAAATATTTTTTAAATGACTAAAACTTGAAGCTAACAAAATTGCATTTAAAAATAATCTTGTCTTAAGAATTATAGAATTGTTATCTTCCTCATATATATATAAGGTATATTTACATTTAAACTGATATGATGTTGAATTATTAATCAATGGTAGTCTTAAGTTTGTGAATAATATTCACTTGTACTATTTACAATAATCCTATAATTTAAAATATTAAATTTGTTCCAAGAACTTAAAATACATTACAGGTGTTATTACCTGGATTCTCACAGGATATCCTTTGAAATGAGAAGAGGGCAGGTACCGTAATCTCTAAGTCTGAACCATATCATGAATTCATTAGAAGGCTGAAATATGTATTTCCCAAGAGGTTTCCATCTAGGACTTTCTTTTTTTCCTTAAGGAAATTAAGTTATAGTGATAATTTTATGTGCTTAATACTTCGTTTATTTTTCAAAAAGGAGATTAGTATCTGACTCAAGGTAAAAATCAAAGCCACTTCAAACAATGTGATAAAAGTTGCAGAATGTACAAGAATTGGGGGGTAATTAAAAATTTAAAAATTTGAATTAAAAGACATTTGAAAAGTAAAAATGAATTTAAGAACACTAGTTATAATTACATGGGTGAATATATTTAGCTTTATTATTCATGTATTTTGGAAGAATTTTACATATTATACACATAGCTTTATATATATATTATATACATGGTGACTCAAACATTTAGAAAATGACTTGCTGTCTATATACATAAAATTTCAGGATTGCTTTTTCCATAGTTAGTATAAAGGTTCATTACTACAAAAGTATTGGCTTATTTGCCTGTGATTTCTGGAAATTGGAGTGTCATTTCAGAAGTTGTAAAAGCACAATGTAAGCAGATCATTATTTTGACCAGTTTTCAAACTTTGATGTTTAATGTTTACCAATTCAAAATAATTGCACCTAACTCCATGGCTACCCATGTTGAAAATCAACCCCAGTCATGATCATGACACTTGCTGTATATAAAAACAAACACCAATTTAATAAATTTTTAAAGTAAAGATCACCTTTCATTATTGGGATATTATGGTCAAAGCATCTTGTATCTGGCCATCATCTATAATGCCACATTATTGTATTTTATTGCTAGTTTACATTTCCTAAATTTGTACTAATAATCAATTTTCTCTTTGAAGGAAAACTTGTCCTTATAAGCAATTATAAATGAGTTTTACTAGTTTTGAATCTGGGGTTCAGGTTACTATGGCTCTAGTCACTCTGGGTTTATGATGATTTTTTCATAAGCTATGCTCAGCAATTGTATAAAGTTGGCAAAAATAAATCAAGTCTTGATGTATTAGATATTTGATATTCCCAGGCATCAAATAGACACAGAGACTGCAAAACCAGGCATGGCTGTAATAAAGCAGATATTCCACTTACAGCATGTCACATACATGAGGTCTGTCCAGAAGGTATCCAGCCATGGACTATGAAAAAGAGAGACATTCACTGAGGAAGATACAAGACACAAGAAACCTTGCACACAGGACAATGATGCCTCAGTCCCCTTCAAAGTAGGTCCCTTAGGACCTCACACAGGTCTCCCACTCACCATCAGCTGCCCCATCGTATTTTCCTGAATCTCATCCATGGTCTAAAATCTCTTCCCCTTTCAAAGGTGATTTTAGTTTTGGGAAAAGCCAGAAGTCGCAGGGCACCAAATCTGGGCTGTAAGGGGGCTAAGTTACCCCGGTGATTTGATATTTCACCAAAAATCTCTGTACGAGATATGTGAGTGGGCACATTGTCATGTTGAAGCTGCCAATCACCAGTTGCCCATAGCTGCAGGCTTCTGAATCATCCAAATAGTTTCTGTGGAGGAATGTTTAAGCCTAATGCAAAATTTGATGCAGACTCATTGCTCTACGTGCTCATTTTGAATGTGGTGGCCACACAGTACACATGCTCACTCAAGAGCGTCTACCACCCCCACTGACTAGTCCGGTGAAGCTGTCATTGTTTACGCATGTGCATTCCAGTCCACCTTCCTTGGCTGCCAGGTTACATGGACGTTGCGCAAACTGCTCTCATTATGTTAACAATGGCTGGACTTTTTCTGGACAGACCTTGTATTCCACTAATTAAGGTTAAATTATTTACCCAGAGATATCACCTCTGGGTATTTGTACCTTTCAAAAAAAATATACATATATATTTAGTTGTTCATAAATAGTCATGCCTTGAATGCTGAATGCAGATACTCACCTGCCCACAGGAATGGCACATGATGTTTCCCAAAAGCAAAAGCATGTGCGTGGGTATTTTAACTATTACCCATTGTTAAACATCACTTAAGTCATGTTCTCTTCAGTAAAGCTAATTATCTTAGCCCTTTCCCACAAGAGAAGCCCTTGATCACAACTACGTTCTCACTGCTGCGGAAGGACCCTGGGGCCGCTGGGACTCCTTGCCCAGCCGTGCTCTGCTGGTTCCTGAAGACGCAGATGGGATGAGAGCTTCAAATTCAATGACTTATTTATTGAGATACAATGAACTTCCCTAAATCTATTTTCTTCAATTCTGGCATCTAGGCTGAAATGAACATAACTACATCATTTTATTTCATATTAAGAGGGATCTAGTATGTATTAACTAAGTAGTTAGTGATAAGTACCATTTATAATAGAAATAACTCCTTTATGTATTGACTGTTTTCTAAATAATATGCATTTTTAAGCCATATGATAAAGCTAAAAATATATATGATATAAAATCACCTCTATTTACCAAGATGGTTGAAATGATTTGTGGATAAACTGTTTGTCCTGCTACAAGAATCCCAAAGTTGTTCCAAGAGGAAGGCACACCAGAGAATGTGGAAATGAAATTTCTCTTAAAATATACAGTGTGTTGAAATACTAAGTCACAGGACATCACCTCAGCACTGTGCTTTGATTCTTGTTACTCTGGGAAGCCAATATTGTGGTGTAAATACATGAGGTTTAAAAGTTACCGAAATTATTAAAAGGGTGTGATCCATTTTGCCACCAATTTCCTATCCTAGGACAAAGAATGTGAATTTGTGTTCTGGATATGAAATTCTGGAATTAAAAAATACCTATGGACTTTCAGTCTTAACAATACAGCAGCCTGAGAGTTTTGTTTCATGGCGAAAAAGACTCAGAACAAAGTGCGCTTCCTCCCCACTGGCAGCCGCTGGCAGCCCGGGCGCCAGCTCTGCGGAGGGGGACAGACCTGGCGCCCGGCACCCGCCACCTGGCAAAGACCACTCCAACATCTCAGCGCCCAGCGCTCCAGGGGTGGGTGCCGTTTATGGGGAAAGCTCCAGCAGCAATATAAGACGCGGCTGCCTTAGTTTAATGCTGAGCTGCATCTAAGTGCATTTTAGCAAGAATTTATACCATCCAAGAATCCTAAAGGAAACTATTAACTGAGGTGAACTTTGAAAATCTGTACCTGTTAATTCATGTAGAGAACTGCTTTCCTAATCTTTAAACAAAAAAGTGCATTTCCCTACAGAAACGTAAGGGAAAAAACCCCACAATATGATTTAATATATATTATATAATACATACAATGTACATATTATATAATGCATGTTATATATAGATGAAACAGCTGACAGTTACTTCCAAATTTTAAAAATCATTCAGTGGATTGGGTTCTCAGCACAATGAATCTAACGAATACCTTAATGATCACATCATACTTCAAAAAGTACACTGATTGTTTACCACGCCCCCCCAACCCAAAAACTGGAAACTTAAGAGGCATTTTTAAGCATCACAGAAATATGCAGAGGCATGACACAGTTGCTGACCATATCCTAATAAAAAACCGCCTAAAGAAGTAGGTTCATTTTTACCAGTTAAATTTTTCGCTGTGAAAATAAGTCAACTGTAAGTGTCGTTTTGCTATACGGTTTTACAGAAGGCACTCTCTGAGCCAGCCTGGCCCTGCTTGCTGTGTGCATGTTAACTTAATACTAGCCTGTCTTTGAAACAAATGAGAGTGCAAGGTATTGCTCTTCATTTTTTCACTCAAGTTAGAAATGAAGGGGAAAAATACCAATATCCGTTTAACTCAGAACGGATAGCCATACATCTCTGAAATAACAAAACTACATAGCACTGAGCAGACTTTTGATGTCGGATTTGGATGGTAAAAGACTTGCTGTAGCACTCACATTAAAGTTCTGCTTCTGTAAGAAATTACATTAGGAAAGAAGGCCAATAACTATTTTCTCCCTTCACTAGTTAAATACTGAACTAAATGACAATTTTACAAAACTATTTCAAGTATTTATCATCACAGTGAAAATGTGAGACCAATGTTTGAATGAGTTGAAAATTCCTCTGATGAAAAAGGCAAGGGTACTAAATCAAAACATACAAAATGCTTCAACGCATTTCTTTATGTGATATGAATAGATTGTTCATAAAAAGTTAGAAAAATTAAGATAAATTATATAATTAGTACACCTTCCCAACCACATTTGCTATAAAAATTCAGAATAGTGTACTGGTATTTCAATCTACACAGTAAAAATGCCTGGACTCGGCAGGTATCTTCTATCTGTGCACTTATTTTCTCAGTAGAAGGTTTAATTGTTGTAGTCACTTTCTAAAAGTTGTATTTTAATTGTGAACCTTATTGACTCATCAGTAGACCCAGCTGATGGGAACCCACTGGGGCTCCATTCTCAGTTTCTCTATGGCAGTTTGTAGTTTCTCAAAGGCTTTGTCTAGATTGTCGTTTACGATAATCAAATCAAAATAGTGGTTGTATGCTCTTTGAATTCGTGCACTTTCATCCACTGTTTTCTTCAAGTCAGAGTCCTGTGGAAGAGTTTTAAAAGGAAATGTTTTTATTATAACATACTTACTTGCTCAAACACCAACTCAAAGTGAACATAAAAAATAAGTATGTTGGATAATTTTTGATTCTGATATTGATTCTCAAAATCAAATCTCTATAGAGTGTTAAAAAAGATATTAATTACCACCTGTTCCTGTACTGAACTTTCCAAGTGTGTTCATGTTTGCATTTATTGCTGTGTGCATGTTAACTTAATACCAGTCTGTCTTTGAAACAAATGAGAGTGCAAGGTATTGCTCAATTAAAAGACTGCTGACAATAACCTTAGGGAGAAATCTAAGGTAACAGGTTTTTATCTTATGGACTCTAGATCATGGAACCCAATTTCTAGCGGCTGTTAAGCTGCAAGCCACATTTGCTGCCTATCTCTAAGAAAGTGAATCTTAAAAACGTGTTTTGAAGACTAACTTTACATTTACCTAGTTTTTTAGCTAGCATTATTTATATTTCATAAAATATTTCTAGTCATTTTAGAATGATGTGAGGAATGCATAAATAATGGGTTCTGCTTATTTAGAGCTTTTCATTAAATGTAAGTGTTTTGAAATTTTATAATAACTTTACATGTTATTCAAATATTTATTTTTTTAAAGATTTAAAAAAAGTCCTCATCCAAGAATATATTCATTGATTTAGAGGGGGCTGGGGAGAGAAATATCCATGTGAGAGAGAAACATCGACTGGTTGTCTCCCTGCACATGCCCCAACTAGGGATCGAGCCCACACCCTTTTGGTTTATGGGATGATGCTCCAACCAACCAAGAAATGTGGCCATGGCAAATATTTATTGGGTTTCTATTAAAGTGTTTACTGTGTTTCTCATTTTATGGCTATAATAATGAGTAAGACAGAGTGGGTTTCTACCCTGTAGTGGAGAAGACAGATGAAGGGCCAATAAACATAAAAACCTGCAAGTTGTACTAAGTATATAACAGAAAACAATCAGGAACAAAGCATTTTAAGAGATCTGCTTCAGAGGGAGTGATTATGAAGACACTGAGTAAATGACTTTCAAACTGAGAACCATAGTGGGAGAAAGAGCACTCCAGGCAGAGGAAACAACAATGCAAAATCAGGAGGGAAATGAGCCTGATGTGGTTAAGACACCGAGAGACGGCCAGGAGGCACACATGGTCTGGGGTGGGGGGCGGTGTAGAAATTTGAGATGAGCATGGAATAGGTCTTGAAGGACCTAGATGCAATGGAGACATCTCTGGGTTATTATGGTGGTGAAGATGGAAATGACCTAGACTGAAAATATACAGGGTAGGCAAAAGTAAGTCTACAGTTGTTTGTATAGAAAATAATACAATCATTAATAATAATATAAGAATAAACTCTGTGCTTTGCATACTCACAATTGCAAACCTACTTTTGCCCATCCCTGTATTTTGGTGATAAAATCATCAGGATGAACTGATGGGCTGGAAGTGAAAAGTGAGGAAAATGAATGAATCAAGATGCTCTCGGGTTTCTAGCTTGAGTAAATGGATGTATAAGATGCAGAGTTGGGGAGTAGGGATGGGGAGAATGCGATTTATTGGGAAAGCAAATGTTCTACCTTGTACATATTAAATTTAAGATGTCTGTGAGACAGCCAAGTGGAGACGTAAGGAGGTGATTGGTTATGCAAGTCAGAGCTCTGAGGTCTGAAGTACCAGTATATAAATTAGGAATTATCAGAATAATGATAGTATATAAGTTAATATAAAGGGAAGTGTAGACAGAGAAGTGGGTTCCTAGCTAGGCCTAAGGGCCACTAATACTTTTTAGTCAATACTTTTCACTGAGATTCCTAAATAAATTTGAAAAATCTAAAATATCTTTTATTACAGATCTGTAAACAGGCCACAGTTCAACTTGAAAACAATACTTAACCTATTATAGTCATTAGTGATCTGGCTTATTAAAAAAAAAAAGATTCAGGCCTTGGATGGGTGGCTCAGTTGGTTGGAACATCACCCCATACACCAAAAGGGCTCAATACCCTCCTGGGGCACACACGAGAGGCAACTACCAGTGTTTCTCTCTCACACCGATGTTTCTCTCTCTCTCTCTCCCCTCCTCCCTTCCCTTCTAAATCAATAAATGTATCCTTGGGTGAGGACCAACTTGAATAAGCTCCTCTTGGTCAAAGATGGGACAAATGTGACTCACTTTGTAAGTTATATTAATGTCTAATCACTATGCTGTACACTTGAAACATAATATTGAATGCTGTCTCTAATTGAAAAAATTTTTTAAATTTTTTTAAAAAGATGGGACAATTCGAGTATCAATGAGAACAGTAACTGCAGTTACACATCAAATAAAAATCCATGTGTTCATCATGAAATTAAAAAACAGCCATGGCTGGTGTGGCTTAGTGGACTGAGCATGAGCCTGCAAACCAAAAGGTCGCGTGTTCGACTCCTGGTCAAGGGCACCTGCTTGGATTGCGGGTTAGTTCCACAGTTGGGGACGTGTGAGAGGCAACCAATGAGATGTTTCTCTCCCACCTTCTCCTTCTCTTCCTCTCTATCTATGGATAAATACATAAAATCTTAAAAAACAAAACGCAAACCTTATTTGGTTACCTGTTAACCTGTGGAGCCTGTTATGGAGCAAGACCATTATTCCGAAAGCTGATCCATAAAAGGAAAAGTATCAAGCATCTATCTTGACTTTCCTATAGGAACTGTACTTTAGAGTAATCAACTAGTTGATGAGCAAAAGTTAGTTTTTTAGAACTCTAGTTTATAAATTCTGAAAGAGTCACAAACTTAGAATATTACCAAATTACAATCCCTAAAAAGATAAACAAATAACTGATCCAGGCAAAGGCCAATAAAACTTGCCAAAATCATTAGGTGGAAAGCTCCCATGGAACTTTACAGACCAGGCTAACAACACCTGATCCCACTGATTAATCTTATCACAAAGGGAGAGACAGCCTTTTTCAAATGCCTCAAATGTTAACAAAACACATACCACCTATCAATTATTCTTGAAAAAAAAATTGAACCTCTACCTGATTCAAGCCTCTCTCAGTTCACAGGAAATACAAGAAATAGAGGAGAATGACACAATGGGGACCAAATTGATAAAATTCACACTATAGAACACTCAATAGGATAAATGACAACAATTTCTGAACAACTAAATAAGGTTAAAAGAGGGGAGGAGGTAGGGAGTGAGAATTTAAGATTAAAAGAGACTAAAGGGACATATGCTTCCAGCTAAGATGCACTAAGAGGAATCAGACTAACCCTCCTGTCTGACAACTAAAACAGACACAATGTACGGAGCAACAGTTTTTTAAGAGATCATACAACAAGCAATGAAAGAGAGCTCCCAGGGAGCCAGGAAACAAATGAAGTGAGCCCTGTGATCACCGCCGACTGCCAGCCTGACATTTCCAGGCTGCAACACAGTGAGGCACTGCCCGGAAGGAGCTGCTGGGCCCTCTAAGTCAGGACAGAGCGGCAGGTCCAGGGAGACCAAAAGCCTGCAGGTCAGAATACTGGAATGGAGTAGCAGAGCACAGAGACAGAACTTCAAAGACCTGCAAAAGGTCCCCTTCCAGCACGTGGCCAAGTACCAACTGTGTACATGTGCCACTACCCAAGGTCACTAAAGAGCCACCAGCAAGGCTGAGGTAGTCATCCTGAGCCAGGAACAGGACCTGTTCCCACAAGACAGAACAAAAAACCTCATGGTGCACAGGCCATTTGGGAGAGTGCCCACATGGTCTTGCTTTACTAGTGGAAAATAAATGCCCCTAGAATGAGAACTGCTCTGGTCTTACCCAAAAATTTGATAAGTAAGACCTGAAAGAAACAAACCAGTTCCAAATAACTGCATCCCAGAACAAAGCTCATGTCTGGCAACCAATAAAAAAGTAACAGGATTGTAAAGAAGCAGGAAAATATGACCCATCCTGAAGAACAGCCATTCAATCAAAACTAATACAGAACAGACACAAATGTTAGAATTAGTAGATGACAACATGAAAACACCTGTAACTATGTTGAAGCTACTCAGAAAGTTAAGTATAGACATGTAACCTGAAAAAGAGCAAAAAGGACGAACACTACCTGATTTTAAGGCTTAGCAGCTACAGTGTGGAAAGAGGTGGGAGCAGCAAGAGGGAGGGATTGTGAAGGGGCACAAGGAAGCTTTTGGAGGTGATAAACACGTCCATTATCTTGACTATGCGTCAAGGCTTCATGAGTGTAGCCATATGCACAAACTTCTTAACTTGTACACTTTCAATGTCTGCAGTTTACTGCATGCCAATTATGCCTCAATTAATTTGGAGAAAGAAGATTTAGAAGACATCAAGTAAATGCCATGTATTGTTCTTATTTGGATCCTGATTTGAACAAAGCAGCTGTAAAAAAATGATCAATCTTGGGGAAATTAAAATAAAGACTGTATATTGATGATATTAAGAAGCTGCTCTTATTAATTTTTTTACATGTTAATGGTGACAGGGTTATGTTTGAAAAGTCTTTATCTTTTAGAGATAAATACTAAAGTGTCTACAGTTGATAGGATAGCAAAGATTTGCTTCAAAATAATTCAAACTAAGTGAGGAAGTGAGGAGAAGTATAATTGAAACAAAAATGACTGTATGTTATTGAAGCTAGGTGATGAGCACATGGAAGTTCCTTTATTTCCTCTTGTATATATTTTAAAATTTCTATAATGTGAAAAAAGAGAGAGAGAGAAGACAATGCATGTAACAGAAACGAAAATGGTCTTGAGGCCCAGCTTCCTCATTAGTAAAATAAGGGGTTGGATTAATACACATATTTTAACACTGGCCCATTTCATTTACACCGGGGGCATAAACATTTGTTTTAAAATAAAGTGAACAATAATTTTTAAGTTAACAACAATACTGTTCTACATCCTAACTATATCTAGTAAATGAATTTTTATTCCATAATACCTCATATAGTATGTTTATTTCATCAACATAGAATTAAAACATGCTCAAAAGAAAAGGAAAAGTACAAGTTTTTGGAGGAAATAACACTATTAGCCTAGAAAGAACTGCTCACCGTCAAAAGCTTGGTAGTGATGCCAGCATCCACCACAGCTTTGTGCATGGCGCGTAATGTCTCTAGTTCTGGAGCAGCAATGAACACAACATAGGGCATGAACTCAGATGTCCTCAGTACTTTCAGGGCCTGTGTAGAAGAAAAATTGAATACCAATCTATATAGGATTAGAATTTGTATTGTTACCATTTACTAAATAATCAAAGTCTATCTGCCCTCTTCCTAAGGATTAAGGATATGATTTAACACTTGCCTCGCTTCTATCCTTTTAATTCCACAGGGTTCTCTCCCAAAAGAGCTCTATTAATTGTGTTCTGACCTCAGTCACACTACTCTTTGATCCTCTTGAACAAAGCATTAAACTTAATGACCCAAAAGTCATCAAGAATGATGTAAATGCGTTTTATGTTAATTGCAGAATTCAGAATTCTGTTAATATTTAAAAAGCTATAAATAATCTCAGTGTCTATTAATGGGAGACTGTTGATATAAATGAATATACATCCATATTATGAAATACTAAGCAGCAATTACAAAGAATAAAGAAAGCTCTACAGTCACCGACATAAAAAGATCTTCAAGAAAAACTTTAATGAAGAAAGCTAAAGAAATTGTATAGAATTTTTCCATTTATGAAAAGAATCAACAAAAACAGAAAACCCATTACATCTTATATATGTATATGTGCATATATATTATATATATTTTACCTAAGGGATAGTAAAAAGACAGAAAGATATATACCAAACTCAATATTTACTCCTGAGTAGGGAAGTGAGGTTGGGTTGAGTGCAGAGCAGTGGGAAGGGGTTGGTGAGAGAGACATGGACTGGAATGAGAATGAAGTGAATGTTTATGGGTATGTGTTGGGTGGGAATAGGCATGACTTCAAATTTTTCTTTTAATTTATACATTTTTAATTAAAAAGTTGGTTTTAAATTACAGTTTACAGTCAATATTATTTTGTATTAGTTTCAGGTGCACAGCACAGTAGTTAGACAATTATATACTTTATAAAGTGCTCCCCCTGATATTTCCAGTAACCAACTGGTACCATAGTTATTGCAATTTTATTGAGTATATTTCCTATGCTGTACTTTACATCCCCATGACTATTTTGGAGCCTGGGTTAAATTTTAAATTTAACATTTACTAATATATGCATTTACATATTACTTGGGCAAGTAAATATTAAACTTCTATCACATTTCTAGCGCTTGACTAATTGATCAGAGATTTATTTAACTCATGTAATATGCATAATACAGTTCTCTACCACCAACAGGTAATGGAGGGAAAGAGCTACCCTCACAATCTCAAAACAAAACAAAAACTCCAAAGGAAATAAAATTTAAAAGAAACAACTTTGGAATCCATGTGGCTTACCTGTGGGTTGACATCCAAAATGCAAGTTCGTCCAGTTTGTACAACCTCAAGAATAGAATCAATCTTGGTTCCATAGAGATTTCCTTCATATTCCCCATGTTCCAGATATTTTCCAGCTTTAATATCTGCTTCCATCTCAGAACGTGACACGAATTTATATGCCTGACCATCTTTTTCATCTTCCCTTGGTTTCCGTGAAGTAACTAAATAAAACAATGTTGAGAATTTGTACAAAGGCAGTGCAGGATACTAGAAAATAGACTAAAATGAACAAGGTAGCTTAAGTTTTTTTCCATTTGGCCAAATTTGGCCTGCTTGCAATTTTTGTAAATAAAGTTTAATTGGACAACAGCTACACTCATTCTTTTTATCATCTATGGTTTTTTTTGTTTGTTTTATACTGGTGGAATAGTTGTGACATTCAACCAGACCTGCAAAGCCTGAAATATTTACTATGCAGTCCCTGAGTAAAATAGTACTGCTGATTCCTGACCTATAGGAATTTTTTAAAGGTAGTCCCCAATATACAATTTGTATTTTAAAAAAAAAGGTGCATTAACCCCAAATAAAATTACCTGGAAGCAGAGTCCTATATTTAAATTCTTAATTGTGGTGAATCGTAGTAAGTGTGAGGTTATGTTGCAAGTGAGTATCTTTTCCAGCTGACCAGCATTCCCCTTCTCCCTTAGAAATATCAATTATATCCTTTCCTTACACTTTAACATTTCCTAATTGAATGCCCAGCAGTTGAGCAAAGTTCTCCTACTCTGAGTTAATATTATCAATTTTCTGAAGTGTAGTTTTACCCACAAGTTATTTATCATTTACCTCATCTCAACACCTTTACTTTAGCTTCCTGTTTATTGACACTCCTAAACATTAAGTTTTCTATTTTGTACTTTAGTGGGGGAAATAGCCACCTCAAAATTCTTAAAGTCTATTAACTTTCTCTACTCTGACACAATATGTATTCTTGCTGAGAGAATGAGAATAAATAAACCAAGTCAAAATATCTCTTTGTATGATATTTTATGGTTCTAAATACTTTCAGAGAGGAGGAAGGAGGAAGGACTTCTGGCCAAGATGGAGGCATGGGTAGATACACTGTGCTTCCTTGCACAACCAAAAGAAAGACAACAATTTTAAAAACAAAAAACAACCAAAACTGCCAGAAAATCGAACTGTGTGGAAGTCCGACAACCAAGAGGCTAAAGAAGAAACATTCATCCAGACCAGTAGGAGGCGCGGAGACAGGCAGACGGGTAGAGAGGATGTGTGGCAAGACAGCAGCTGGCAGACCGGGCGGTCCCACATCTGTGTGCAGATAAATCCTGAGGAACAGCTGGGAGTGACAGACCACTCAACCCAGGGTTCCAGTGCAGGAAAAGAAAGCCTCAAAACCTCTGAAACTATAAACCTGTGGGGATTGCGGCAGCAGGAGAAACTCCCAGACTCACAGGAGAGTCTGCTAGAGAGACCCATGGGGTCCTAGAAAGTACACAAACCCACCCGCCCAGGAATCAGCATCAGAAGGGCCCGATGTGCTTGTGGGTAGCGGGGGAAGTGACTGAAAGCTGGCCGAGAGCCCAGCAAGCCACATTGTTTTCTCTTGGACCCTCCCCAACAAGGTGTCACCACACAGCGACCTGAGTTGCACTGCCCTGGTGAAAACTTAAGGCTCTGCCCCTCCCAAGGTAACAGGTGCACTGAGACAAAGAAATATGGCCCAAATGAAAGAACAGATCAAAGCTCCAAAAGTAGAACTAAGTGATGAACAGACAGCCATCCTATCAGATAGAGTTCAAAACATTGGTAATTGGATGCTCAATGAATTATGGAGGCCAAAATGGAGGAAAAAGTGAAGGTTATGCAAAGTGAAATAAAGAAAAATATACAGGGAACCAACAGTAAAGGGAAAGAAACTGGGACTCAAATCAATGATTGAGAGCAGAAGGAAGAGATAAACATTCAACCAGAGTAGAATGAAGAAACAAGAATTCAAAAAAATGAGGAGAGGCTTAGGAACCTCTGGGACAACTTTAAATGTTCCAATATCCGAATCATAGGGATGCCAGAAGGAAAAGAAGAGCAAGAAATTGAAAACATTCTTGAAAAAATAATGAAGGAGAACTTCCCCTATCTGGCGAAGGAAATAGACTTCTAGGAGATCTAGGAAGCTCTGAGAATCCCAAAGAAGTTGGACCCAAGGAAGCACACACCAAGGCACATCATAATTACATTACCCAAGATTAAAAGATAAGGAGAGACTCTTAAAGCAGCAAGAGTAAAGGAGACAGTTTCCTACAATGGAGTTCCCATAAGACTATCAGCCGATTCCTCAAAAGAAACCTTGCAGGCAAGAAGGGGCTAGAAAGAAGTATTCAAAGTCATGGAAGGCAAGGACCTACATCCAAGATCACTCTACCCAGCAAAGCTCTCATTTAGAATGGAAGGGCAGATAAAGTGCTTCCCAGATAAGATCAAGTTAAAGGAGTTCATCATCACCACGCCCTTATTATATGAAATGTTAAAGGGACTTACATAAGAAAAAAGATCAAAAACTACGAACAGTAAAATGACAACAAACTCACAATTATCAACAAACTGAACCTTAAAAAACAAAAACAAGCTAAGCAAACAACTAGAACAGGAGCAGAATCATAGAAATGGAGATCAGAGGGGCGGGGGAGGAGGAAGAATGGGGGAAAAGGAACAGGGAATAAGCAGCATGAATAGTAGGTATAAAATAGGCAGGGGGAGGTTGAGAATAATACAGGAAATGGAGAAACCAAAGAACTTATACCTATGACCCATGGACAATGAACTAAGGTGGGGAGGAACGCTGGCGGGAGTGGATGCAGGGTAGAGGGTAATTAAGGGGAGAAAAAAGGACAATTGTAATAGCATAATCAATAAAGTAGCTATTAAAAAAGTAAATTAACATATAAATTTAAAAAGTGCTTTCAGAGACATATAACTCTGCAACTTGGGCCATGTTAAGAACGGACTATTATCACCTTTCAAACTGTTGTAAAAGTGCAGAATTAGGTACTTTCTGCCAACTTGTTAATACTAGTGTGGAGGAAAAGTAGTAGAGTGTGTGCACATATGTGTTACTTTCAGGTTTAGCCCGTATCTGAGTTTAGCTGGATTAGTATAAAAAAGTTTTCAATTTCTAATCAAGTACTTACACATGCACAATATCTGAAAAACCATTAAGCACATACAATTAAAATTAGAAAGTCATCCAGATGAAAAGTTGATAGTATTTTAACTCTTTGTATACACCAAGAAAACTTTTATAATAACAAAATAAACTTCAAACTCAAGCTCAATAATAAAGGTCGAGTTGATAAGTGAGATCATTATGTACAACAGGACTCCCTTTGCCCTTGCTGTTTTCTGGCTCAGCCTTGAGGGTGAGCATCCCAGACCAATGTGCAGAGCATTTACAAAGTAACATCAAGATCTTCAAAGTAACATCAAGGTGTTGTGATGATGGCTTTTTATAGTCAAAACTGTGTGAAGGAGGAATAAATGGTGATGGAAAGAGACTTGACTTTGGATGGTGAGCATACAATATACAGATTGTATATTATAGAATTGTACACTTGAAACCAATAAATTGAATTTATAATTCAATATATTCAATAAATTTATAATTTATTGAATTTATAATTCAATAAAACTTTTTTAAAAAACTGGAACCCTCATACATTGCTGGGAGTGTAAAATAGTACGGCCACTGTAGAAAAGTATGTGGCAGCTTCTCAAAAGGTCAAACACAGCCACTATGTGACCTACCGACTCCATTCCTAGGTATATATCTGAGAAAAATAAATTGTAAATGCCCACATAAATGCCTGTACACAAATGTTAATAGCAACATTATTTATTATAGCTAAAAAAAAAATAGAGCAATCCAAACATCCATCAACTGATGAACAGATAAACAAGATATGGTGTAGCCATAAATGGAGTATCGTTTAACAATAAAAAGTAACTAAATACTGCTACCTCTGATAACATGGGATGAATTTTGAAAACTATGTTAAGTGAAGAAACCTATAGCAAAACACACATATTATATAATTACATTTCTGTGAAATGTCCAGATAGACGGATTTATTGTGACAGAAAGCTCACTAATCATTAGCACAATGAGTTTAGAAATATGCACACAAAGGCATATCATTATTAAATTTCAGAATACTGAAAAACAACAAAACATAACAAAAGACCCTGAATATTTGTGAAAGAAAAATCAGGTCATGTACAAAAGAATTAGAACGACATTGAACTTCTTAACAGAACTGAATTCAAGAGTAAGATCTTTTGAGTTTTACAATCCAGAATTTCTATTCTCTGCCAAATAATCAGTCAAATACAGGGCAGAAAATAGACATCTTCAAATCCAGCAATGTGGAAATTAATCCCATACATCATTTCTGGTGAAGCTACAAGGGGATGTGTCCAGGAAAACAAGGCAATAAACTAAGAAGGAAGAAGAATGGGATGCAGGAAAACAGCTTCAACCTAGGACAGCAGCAAAGAGAAGACACATCACCGTGCGGGCAGCAGGGCGGCCAGAACAGGGAGCACATAGTGCTCACAGAAGCAAAAAGCCTGAGGCTCTGAGACAGAGGTCTTCAAGAAAAAAATAATGACCTAGTAAGTAAGTGAGTCTTCGGTTTAAAACAAAACTATACATTTGAAATCAAGGTAAAGAGAAGAAAAACAGATGTCTAGGATTGATTGTTGGGTGGGTGAACAAGCAGAGGCTGTCCAAGGAAGTAACAATGAATTAACTGAAACGAGAGCTATTTTTGTATTGGGAGGGTAGTCAGGAAGTCAACAGATGAGGCCCACCCTGGATAAGGCAAGAATTAGCAGAATGTAGACCAGCAATATGGAAGACTACCAAAAGAAACAGCAAAAGAAAAGCAACTGCTTCTGGTAAGTAGGCCCAAGGTGGGGGTAGAGGAAAACAACTGGTTATTTTTTCCATTATATGACATTAAGAAATACTTAATGTACATGTATTAATTTGATAAAAATAAAATACTTAAAATACTTTGACCAGAGTGAGGTTTTTACAACTACTTAACTAGGATTGGTCAGAGTTTAGTGATGTACAGTGCCTACAATAGAATCAAAGCCGTACCCTGAAGCGGTGATAAAAAAATAGCATGTGGGGACAATGACGAGGTTACTCCCCCAGTGACCCCTATGAACTTTAGCAATAAGATTATTCACTGAGAATTAAACCTCAAAACAAAGGATGAAAACAGAAACTCTAAAATTCATCTAAAAGAGATGGAGTGATGTGAGGCTAAGATTTGACTCAGAACAGCTTAAAGCCATTAATATACCTAAAGAAATAGTGTGTTAGTCAAAATCAAGGGGTCTGGTCAGCAACGGAAGCATAGGCAGGGGAGTTATAAATGTGACACTGGCTTGTCTCCTGCATGCTTTAGGGGACAGAGCATGTAAGTTCCCACAAGTAAAGGCTCATGGATCCTTAAAATAAAGACATGTATATTATTAGTCCTCATAATAAGTCAGTGACATCATCTAACTCCTTGATCTAATTCCATTCTCATCAAGCATACTTCTGACATCATTACTGAACTTAACATGTAAATATGCAAATACGGAAAGAATGAAAAGATCATGAGTGTTCGGTTCACTTAATGGTTATAATTCCCATCAGTATCAATTTATTTTATATATCAATCTTAGTGACCCTAATTAATGCTGCCTGCTCTGGAAGATGAATCACTCTTGATGTGCTATCAAAATTCAGGTTTATGACCTTGCAGAATCATACAAATTAACAAAAGGGATGGCCACAGTGAGAAGTGTCTGAGGATCCAGCAGGTCCCCCCCCACCTTTTTTTTACACTAAACTGGTTTAAAAATACAACTTCAGAGAGTAAAAGAAAATACAAAGTTAATGCTGCCTTTGCCACAACTCTTAATGCTTGTATTAACCAACATTTCTGGACTGAACAGTTTGGAAAAGTGACTGCCACCAGACAGCAGGCTGACAGGGGAATAGTGCTATTTCAAGATGGCTGTATTTTTCAGTATCCTCTGTTTGTTTTCATTGATATAATAAAAAAAAATTGGGAATAAAGATAGTAATAATGATGATCTGCCCCCCCTACATTTTCCTGCCAATTAAATAGCAAAGAAAACACAAAAACTTACATGGCACTGTAGTTCCAAATCTAGTAGGATTCAATACTATGAACCTGTTTTTCAAGCTTCTTCGTCCCACACCTTGAGCTCCTATTAATACTAAGGTCTTTCTTTGGAAGGGAGGCATTTTGGCTACCTCCTCATAGATCTGGATTTCATGACGATCAAATTCTAAATGTAAAAGGAAATGCAGAACATCATATTCAATTGTCTTTTATATGGACAAAAATCCTTTGTTATTCCATTCAGTAATGACTTAGTTGTCTTGATAGTTAAATATCACTTAAATTGTACTCAGTACAGATTTATTTTTATTAATTGGGTAAAGTACAAGAAATTATATTTTAATTTAAACATCTGCTTCCATCCATTTGCCCTTAAAATTTGTCTAGCCAAGCTAGTAAAATTCCTGTGCTTCATCCTTACCAGATATTTTATCCATAAAACCTTTTCCTTATCAATTCATGAGTAAAAATAACTCCTCTAAAATAAATAATTCAGTGACAAATACTTTATATAATTTATTCAGTTAAAAAGTGTTTCACATATGGAAGAGAGCAGTATAGCTAGCATGGATGCTTAAATAAGTCCTTCTAGAATGAGTATGCTCTTCCAATGACATAAATGAATAAATACTGTCTTGGCGACTCTGCAAATATCAGTTTGATTAATAAAATGCATACAGAACACATACTGACATTTAATTATTAAGATTTTAAATTTATGTATAAAATAAAATATAGGATACAAATTATCTTCAGTAGAAATACATTCCAAAATTATAATCTTAGCCAATAGAAAGATTACAGGTTTTCTATTTTCAAAAAAGCTTTAACAACATATATTTAATGAATACAAGGCCTAATTGAGTGTGAAATATATTGCCATTATTATAGCTATAACTCTCAATCTATAGAAATAACACTCCTTCCTTAGGTTATTTTAACAGCAACTCTTTTAAACTGATATTACAGGAGAGCTTATTTCCTCATTATTATATTATTATAATATATTATTCCCTTTACAGTGTACTATTTAGTTTAATACTAGTAGAGAGATGGCTCTGAACTAAAGAAAGTACTTTAAAATAGACAATTCCTTTGAGTAAGACCCCAAAGCTGTGTTTCACGCATATCGGCCTCTATAAATGAAAAGAATTGCTGCGGTAGTGGGCAGGTTTATCTTTCCTTAGGTCTAAAAGATTTAAGAAAAAACCCTGAGAGATTAGACTAATATTTATTTTTATTTTATCTTGGTGTACAGGACTATGCTCTAACCAACTAAACCACCTGGCCATGGCAGGTCAGACTAAGATTTATTTGGTCCAGTACTATTGTCCCAATAGTATTACGGACAATGTTATGGCCAAATACTGTTGCCTTAATCATAACTTTTGTAATAGCTTCATAAAGGCATTTTGCTCTTCAGAAATGACAAATTACTATCGAAGTTCTCTGAACAAATAGTTTTAATTATAAAATTGCTCCTTCATTAATACAAGCATAAATCCTAACAAAGTCATTGTATATTAAACTATACTCATAAAATAAAGCACATTGGTGATAGTGTAAACATATATAATATTGGGATTTAAATAATGCTTTTATATTGTATTATACTATGCGCTCACAGGAATTGGGTAGTAATCTGAATTATATTTATTGAAAATTATACATTTAGATCTTACGCCACACTGATTAACAATATAAAGCTATCTCACTTAAACTTCTCAAAAAGTATTCCAAACATACCTGCATTTCTGGTTGTAAGGTACATCATCTTTTTCTTTTTTTTGCTACTTATGGTTCCACAAAAAGGTCCTGAAGGATGACAAGACAAATATAACCTAAACAGCATGTCAAAATATGATAAAACTGCCCTGTGGTATTCTATAGGAGTGGAAGGATTCTCTTCCCAGTGTTACATCCTACAAAGCTGAAGAGGGTGGCTGAGGCACCAAATTCTGACACCGTACCAGCAGGTAGCATAAAGGGACCAAAAAGTTTACATTTGAGAGAGATGCAATAGAGCAGATGGGAGGGATTGATTTTAGGTATATATTAAATAAAGTAATTTGCTAATTCAGATGAAAGAGGCAAAGAGAGGTGGCCACAAAAGATGACTTGTTACTTATTGTGTTGCTCATCACCTGAACTGTCCCAGTCTCTTCTAACAAATGCCTTTCTCTTCTCTTCCAGGAACTGGCTTGGAATGAGACCAGCGCTTCCTCCCTCTTTTACATGGCTAGCCTAGAATCAAATTAATGAATTGTGTATGTCAGTGACCAAAATTTGAGACGACATTCTAAAAAGTAGGACAAGCAGCAGTCAGTAAAAAAAATACCACATTTGCTCTTAAAAACTGACCTTGAGATTTAAATCCACAGCATCGTCAAGTTATTTAAACACTTTAGCACTAAGGAATCAAGTGGCACCTAATCAATCAATCTACCCACCACCACCTGATACGAAAATTTGGGGATCAAAAGACAAAGCAGACAGGTTCTTCAAATTACCAAAACTTTTTATTTATAATACTAAGTTAGTAAAAAAATAGAAAGGAACAAATGCTATTCTGTGTGTTTATAGGGCATTTATTTCATCTAGCATGCTTTAGTAAGATATTTACTACCAACCTTAATCCTACCATGTTGGTATTTCCTGAGGCCACATTGAAGAAAAAGACAGCAGTGGGAAAATAGAGTGAAGCTTTTTAAATTCACACTATCAGCAATCTGGATATCCTGAGAGGTAGTAAGTTTAAGGAGATAAAACTTCAACTGTCAAGAAACTAAATTTTAAAATAAAATCCAAAGAAGTGCTAGTGGCTGGAGAAATGGCTATGTAGTGGCTTATTCTACAAAGTTAGTCACTTCATCCTTATAAACTGGCATAAAAAAAAATCTGGTACATTTTTAGCAATTAAAATCTTGAAAAATAGAATTAAAGGACTAGATGACAAAATGTAGGAAGAAATAGAGATAAAAAAGAATTAGACAAGGAAACTAAGAAATAGCATTCAAAATGTCAGAAAATAGAAAGAATCAGAAAAATTCAATAAAGGAAACAGCCACAGAAGGCAGATTTTTCAGGTGAGCAGTCTAAGAAAATCAGCGGAAAGCTGCTAAAATCATGAATTCTATTTCTTCGTTTTCTAACCACTTGTACACATTAATGTCTTAATTTAAGGACACCTTAGTTAGATTGTTCTCATTCTTGTAATTCATGGCCCTCACAAGTCAATATAACTTAATAGAGCTAATTGCGTTACTGATATATCAGTTTAATTTAGAGTTTAGTGCTAAGTCTTGGGTCCTTTTCCCACAGTTTGTTCTTTAATGAGACTGATAGTTTAATGAAGTTTAGGCTTTCTGATTTGTTAGTTTCTCTCATTCTGAACACTGTGGGTGTTAGCAAATGCAAACGATGATGAAAACAGATGTCTTATGGCTGCTAGAGATTTCTGAAAGCTATTAAAGGGACAGGAGAAAGAACATAATCACACAGATCTGGAAAACCAAGGGGACAAAATACAGTGATAACACACATTCTGTTTTATAAACACAGATTTCGATCCACAATCAAAAACAATACTGATGATAAAGCATACCTTCCTTTCTCAATAAGTGAGAAGAGGTAGGCAAGTAGATTTAAGAGCTAAGAACTTAAAAAATTATTTTATTTGCCATGAATGTATTCAGAAGCGGAGACAAGAGAAAGACTAATGCAAGCACAATGAGAAACTTCTAGGTAAAACAAACAAAAACAAACACCAAAAAGGGATGACCCCAAATCAGTTGTTCTTACCCAATTCTCTATCTTACTGCAATCACCCATGTGGAAAAACCAACTGGTCTAATCCCTAAACCAGGGATGGCACCACAGGCTAGTTAATTTTGCATTTATTAACAGCTACTCACAAATTCCCTCTTAATTTGGTCTTCTAGCCACAAAACCAGTAGCCATGAGGCAGGAGCTGTTCATGCAGGAAGAGACATTGGAACAAATGCTAATAATACCATCTTCCTAAAGATTCAGATGTTGGCCAGATCTAAGGCTGAAAACAAAAAAGCGGTTGAGGAAATTCTGAGGAGCGTACTAACCTGCCACCAGTTTGGATCTTCTCTGTTTACGATCTGAAGAATTTCTCCTTTTGAAAATTTCAATCCTGCTTCTTTGCAGGGTATTAGGTTATCATTGTATGGATTATAATCAAAATGACATTTCACAAATACCTAAAACACACAGAATAATTTAAAATACTACTGATATATCACTTTTCACTGGATTTTTGAAATCTTTTTTCAAACCACTTTGATTTCATTGTAGTTGACAATGTATTTATTTTTATTTTTTATTTTTTCATCTTCACCCAAGGACATGCTTACTGATTTTAGAGAGAGGGGAAGAAAGGGGGGAGGGGAGAGAGAAAAACATTAATGTGAGAAAGAAACATCGATCATTTATCTCTCGTACGTGTCCCGACTGAGGATCAAACCCACAACCTAGGCATGTTCCTGGACCTGGAATCGAACCCACAACCTGCTGGTTTATGGGAGGACACTCCACTCAACTGAATTACACAGTCCAGGGTTTTGACAATGTATTCAATACTTCAACCAAGGAACTTATCTCTTTCGAATAAAAATTAAATTATTAGGACATTAATAATTTGGTATCAGAAAAGAAAGTAAGAAATAAACATTAGCACCACATTAAAACTTTTTCTATTTTAACATCTAATCTTAAATCAACAAAGAGTTTGACAATCATTTTATTCCACCATTCTTTTCACCACGATTTCCAACCAACACTGCATTATTTTTATGCAAACAAATGCTACTTCCTAATTAACATCCTGAAACAATATATACAATTGATTTAAGGCATGTATTTCATATATATTAGGACTTTTTGAAAGAGCTCTGAAACCAAAATTAAATAATAAAATTTCATGTTGAAGACAGACTGAAATATATTTAGTAACCTTAAAAAAAATACCAACTTTCATCCCTGTTAATAATTTTCTTTTTAAATCACATAGTCTTACACTGGCCAAAACTAGTGTGGAAAATATTTTTCTGGAATCATCTTACTCTGATTTAAATGATCAGCATTAAATTAATTTTAAGACAAATACTGAAAGAGGCTTGAAACTATTTTAAATTATACAAATTTCTTTTAAATCTATTTTATCAATAGAAGTATGTTTTATTATGTAGTTACAATCTCCAGTATCTAGAATATTTTGCTTATTTACTTTATAATTTAAGTTCCAATTAAGCTAAGCATTTTCTGTATTTGGTGGCTAGTTCAGACAGATTACTTTCTTAAAACAAACTCTTCTCATGCATATTTATAGAAATTCAAATTTTATCTTTTGAAGAACTGACTTAGCATTAATCAGCAGGTAAACTTTAACAAGCAGAAAAGTGCATAATTAGTCAATATAATGTTATTTTTCTATTTATCATACACCTACAAATACAACCACACTGGATATAACACACATAAGTACATGATTAGTGTAGTAAAATGTAATGTGATGGATGCATATTAAATAATTTAAAATAACTAAATTGGAGAACATGTGACAGAATTTTAGTTTTTTACAATTAGATGATTTTGAAAGAAAGCATTCAGAACATTTTCAATAACTCTGGAAAGGCTAAATATTAATGTTTAAAAAAATCAGCAAACTGATCATTTTTTCTGATATACAATTTTAGCAATATCTAAAAAAGCAAGCATACGATTAATATTAGGATTGCTTAAAATGTGACAACTGGCTAACTTGACATAACATGCAGCTCAATGATTTGGCAATGGAGAAAACCCAAAATGATTAAGTTTAATCACGGTGAATTTAGTTGGCCGATGCGACAGAAAAACAGTACCAGAGAATGTCCAGGAATGACATCATACCTGACGGACGTGTGCTGGATGCCTCTCCATTCTGATGCAACTCTAGAAATATATTTTTCATTGTATAAATAAAGCCAGGCTTTAAGGTGATAATAAATAAAAAAAATATAAACAAACTACTGGCCTATTTTATTACTTCACTCATTTGGTAAAGCAACTACTTCCCTTAATAATTGTCCATAGGTATACGATCTGAAAATTATAAATGCTAGGAGCAAAAAATTAGAGAGGTTTGAGATCAGGCAGAGAAAAAGCATGGTAACACAAAGTCGTAAAAATATGAGGGTATTCCTTACGTCTCAAGGAAGCTGCACTGGATGAATAATAAGAGCAGCATGTCATCCAACCATGACGATGTTTATGATTCTTACCTGTGGGACAGACTGTTTTGTAACCATAAAGCTCAGATTTCCTGAGTTAGTCCAAATTTCAAATATTCATTCCCCTACTCCCATCAAATTGTTCTGAAATTATCATTATTTGTGGAACAAAAACCATGCTTTTCAAATGTAAAGAATTTCTAGAGGAAATAGTTTTTATTTTTTCATTTATCAAATATGTTTTGGAACATTACTCTCATGTTTATAAATTCAGATTAAAGTGGTCTTACTTTGAACTTTGAAACTTTGTCTGAAAGAATTAATGAACCCAATCTTTGATCTAAGCATTTCATAATAACCTTAAAATCATTAGAGATTTGTCCAGTATAATTATGTTTTATTATGTACATTTTAAACTGTTTCAGTAACTAATAGGCTGTGGATGTTAACAGTTCATTCATTATTAAAAAGTTTCTAAACACAACCTAACATATTTCAATCTCACATTCTTATTAAAAGAAAGATCTATCTTAATGACTAAAAATCTCAAGTAGATGGAAGAGAGAAAGGGCAGTACAAATGGCCTTTAAATACAGGAGATGTATAACCTCACTCAGAGTAGAAAAATAAATTAAAATTATGTTATGATAACAGTTTGTTCCCATCAGATTAGCAGAAATACAAATACCTGATATACCACAGCTGGACTATGGGCCAACAGTCATTCTTCTGACAGGTTGGTAAAAATATTGGTGCAATCCCTTGGGAGGACAATTTGGCAATAGCTACCAAAATTACAAATGTAAAACTCTCTGACCTAGCAATCTACCTCTGGAAATGTATTCAATGGCAATGTTATTCAGATATACGTAAAGTGACTTATGAATAAGACTATTAACTACTGAATTATTCCTAACTGGAAAAGATCAGACATACCCTCATTATTTAATAACAGGGAACTAATTAAACAAGTCTATGTAATATAACACTATGCAGATATTAAAAAAGGAAGAGGGATGTACTGCAACAGGCAGACTATGTGGTTAATTAAAAAAAAACAACCCAAAAAACAAGGTTCAGAGTGTGTACATAATGTAACCTTTTCATTAAAGAGGAGGTATAAGGGGAAAAAGAATATATAATTTTTACTTACTTGTATATGAATAAAGAAACTCTGGAAAGATAAATTAAGAGCATGATATCCTATGGGAAGAGTGAGGACTAGATTAGTAGATTAGGAGGGAGGTTTCAACTGAATACAAATTTATATTTCTTGAATTTCAAACCATGGGAATGATTCACTTATTCAAAAATTAAGTTTTTGTAGTAATAAAAGTAAAGATGAAATGACTCCTGCTTCTAAGATGAAGCAACAAGGACCCTCCAACCAGAAACAACTAAAACACTGAACAAAATACGTGAAATATTTTTCAAGACATCAGACGATGAAGATCCTGATTTCCTAAAACGCAGAACAAGATGAGCTGTACACTTGCTCCAGCTACAGGCACAGAGAAAGTTTCCACTGTGCAACCTGGGAAAGGGAAATCTGTGTGGAGCCTGGTGGTCTCCCAAAGCTGAGGAGATGGGCAGGGAGACCGAGGTGGCTACAGTGCACAGAGTAATCAGTGAGGAGAGGGTTACACTCAGAAAGGGCTTTAGAAATGCAGAGGACTCACTTGGGTTTTCAGCAAAGGACTGATCAGTGCACATGTGTGAGGACACTGCTCAGGGTCAAGTAATGAACCAGTATTATAGAGAACAGCTTAAGGAGTTTGTACAGGGTCTGAAATAGTCTCTTTCACTAGGGTGAGTGGGAAAACTTCATAATTCATGAGGCATTGAGTATTAAGAAGGGTTATGCCCTACACTTAGTCCTGCTGTGGTTCCACCTAACAAAGCTTAAAAAGCAAGACCTAAAATGAAAAAGTGCTCCCAAGTAACTTAAGTATCCTAGAACTATTTCTAAGAATACAAAAATACCCAGTACTCAACAAGGCAAAATTCATGATATCTGGCAGCCAATCAAAAATTACCAGGCATGCAAACAAGAAGGAAAATATAATCTAAAATGTTCAAAAAAATCAATCAAGAGTGAACCAAAAAATGACAAATATGACTGAGTTATTACACAAAAACATTAAAATAATTATTTTCACTTTACACAGTTATTCACATGTTCAAAAAAGTGGAGGAAGAAATGGGTATGTCAGGTAGAAATATGCCAGATATAAAAAAAGACTCAATTTGAATTTCTAAAGGTGAAAACCAAAATGCCTGGGATGAACAGTACACCAGATGTGATTAGCAGCAGATTAGACATTTCAGAAAAAAAGATTAGTAAACCTAAAGACATAGCAATAGAACCTATATAACATGAAAGATTAGGAGAAAATAAAGCTGAAATAAATGAACAGAGTATTAGTGAGCTATGGGACAACGTCAAGGAGACAAATATACACGTAAGTAGCGTCATCAAAGGACAGGAGGAACAGATGAATAGAAAACAATACCTGAGGAAATAACTGTAAATTTTTTTCTATATTTGATGAAGGAAACAGCCTCTTCAACAAACGGAACTGGAAAGATTGGATATCTATATGCAAAAAAACCCCCACTCCAGACCCTCTGATGCTCATCTTGCATCCTATACAAACTCTCATAAAGTAAATGGATCATAGAGCTAAGTGTAAAGCATAAAACTATAAAACTTTTTTTAATCCTCATTCTAGGATTTTTTTTTTATTGCTGAGAAAGAGAGGAAGGAAATGGGGGTGGCAGTGGGGAGAGACAGAGAGAGAGAGAGAGAGAAACACTGATTGGTTGCCTTCTCATATGTGTACCAACTGGGAATCAAACCTGCGACCTTATGGTCTATAGGATGATGCTCCAACCAAGCCACAGTGGCCAGGGCAAAACTGTAAAACTTTTAAGGAGAAAATCTTTATAACTTTGAGTTAGACAAGAGCTTTTTTTACACAGAATAACAA